TTGAGTGCTGACACATCAATCAGGGAAAGAAGGACAACCCCGTGGCAAAAACATGACCACAACAACGGACAAAGGAAATGACAGGAAAATCACAGAAGAGGAAATTCAGATGGTTATAAACAAATGAAAAGAAACAGAGCAATGCAAATTAAAGCAACACTGGGATATTCTTTCTCACCTGTAAGAGAATCAAAAATAAACCTCTCTGTGTTGGCATGGATGTGAAACAGTGGGAACTCACACTTTGTAGCAAGTGTGGATTTGGTATGACCATTTTGGGGAGCAATTGTACAGTTATCTGGTAAATCACAGATGTGTTTACCCTATAACAACAATTTCAGAGATATATATTCTTGAGAAGGTCCCACATGCCTGTACAAGGAGACACGTACAAGAAAGTTCTTTGCAGCACTGTTAGTCATAGGGAAAATTGGAATCAATGTAACTGTCCGTCCACACATTAAAGAAATGCATAAATAAATTGTGGTGCATTCATACAATGAACTGCTGTGCACAATTAGCATAAATACAACCACATCAAAATGGGTGAATCTCAAAAACTTGAAGTTAAGATAAAAGGAACTTGCAAAAAAGAATACATACAGCATGGTGCATTTATATAAACCTTAAACAATGCAAAAATACTATATATTGTTAATATACATTAAAATTGTAAAAATGTGCGTGGGAACGATAAGCATCAAATTCAGGACAGTGAATACCTTGGAGTGAATGTAGTACCATGCGGCTTCAGTTTTACCTGTGACAACACATGGTGGTTAAGACTTCGTGGTGGAAGCCAGCAGCTTAGGTTTAACGTCAGGCTCCATCATGTGGGCCAGTGGCTTAACCTGCCTGTATCTCAGTTTGTCTGTAACTGAGGATGACAACTATACGTATCTCCTAGGATTCTTGTGAGGATTAAATGATTTAATGTATGTAAAATAGTAGAACAGTGCCTGGCATATGGTAAATGCTCTTTACGTCATTGCCATTATTTTGTAAGGAAAAATAAAACAAGGTTTGAAACAAATATGGCAAAATGTTAATATTTGGCAGAGTTTGGTGGTGGGTACAAAGGCACTCATTATATTATTCTATACTATTCTACATGCTTAAAATATTTAATAATTTTTAAAAATACAATGACAAACCAGGAAAATCATTGCAATATGTAGATAAAGGGATAATAGCCTTAATGTATAAAGTGTATTTATAAACAACATGCAGAAAAAGGCAAACACTCTAATAAAAAAATAAGCAAAAGATATGAACAGGCAATTTCACAGAAGAAGAAATACAAAAATCAAAGAAATGTCCAATAAAACAACAGTAAGCTATGGCCTTTGTCTTGTTGGATTGGAAAGGTTAATGGGACGCGAGTACCCAATCTGAGCATGGTTGTGGGGAGACAGTTACTCACAGGAGCTCGTGCACTTGGTTAAAACCTATCTAAGGATCGTTTAGCAGTGTATATCAGAATCTGTAAAAATGCTCAATGACTATCCATTTCCATTTCCAGATATTTATCCGAAGAAAAGAATGGGGCAGATTATTTTAAAACATGTATGTGAAAGGATATTTACTATGGCAATGTTTTTAAGAGACAAAAGAATTCCCATCATAGGCAAATGTAACCTTATGGCACATCTGTCCAATAGAATATCCCACGACTATTTAAAAAAAAAGAAAGAAAATGATGCTGTAGATCATGTTCGATTGGCATGGAAGGATGTTCACTGGTATTATGTTTTAAAAGCAAGCTTACAGTATAAACAGTATGATTCCATTAAAGACAAATGCCAAGGTCAGGAGAGTTTGGGGTTTCCCAAAAGTCCCCCCACTTCCGAGAAGCCACCATTGCCCTGATGGCTCAGTGGACCTCCTGGGACGTGTTTCTGCATGTTCATGGCCTCTGTGTGCTAGATCCAAGTGAGTGTGTAAAATGTACAATGTTGTTTATATCTGAAGGCAGCCCCTGCCCGGGCCTGGAGCTCTCGGCCGCTGTCAGCATTCGTAATAAATGCTGCTGATGATAGCAATAATCGCCCTCTCACACTGAGCGTCCACTTGACATCCGTTAGCTCTGATTCTTAGAAACCTCCTATGGAGTTATTATTATCCCCATTTTATGGATGGAGACACTTAAGGTCGGAGAGATGAGGAAACTGGCCCAAGATCACACCGTGGCAGACGCTACTTTGGAAACCAGGTCTGGCTGCCGTTCTCTGCACATCTTAAACCATCCAGCTTTGATCAGATGACGGTAAAAAGCCAGAGATGCAAGGAGAAGTCGCACCAAAATTCACAGACTTCTACAGCGGTGGTTCTCAAGCTTAGCTGCATGTTAGAATCACCTGGGAACGTTTTTAAAAATCTCGATGCTTGGGCACTTCAGTCCAATTTAACCGAATCTCTAGGAGTGGGACCCAGGCATCAGTATTTTTAAAGCTCCTTAAGTGATTCCAAAGTGCACCAAGTTTGAGAACCAGTGCTCAAAAATCGCACTCCTCAAACTTAAGATCGCCTGGGGAATCTAGTCAAAAACCAGATTCTAATTCAGCGGGTCTGGGGTCTTTGAGATTCTGTCTGCATTTCTAAAGAGCTTCCAGGTGAGGCTGTCGGTTCTTTTGCTCATCACTTCCCCAAAGGCCCCAAGAGCCTGTGCTGTCTTTTCTCCCAGACTTCCAGCACCGCCTGCGATCCCGGGCAAAGTGAGGCCGGGGATCTTTCCTGAGCTCCTTTCTCCAGAAATGAGTGCTGGCACTCGTGGGTCTGTCAAACAGGCCTTAAGAACACGCCCACCCTGGCCTGCTCGGGCAGGGGCCAGGGGAGACCAGAGGCTGGGGTCAAAGGAAAGGGCGACCCAGGCCCCACCCCTCGGGGCTCTCGGGGAAGCCCGGTGCAGGGAGTGCAGCCACATGAGGGCTCTGTCTGCATCAGGAAGGCCTCCCAGAGGATGGGGAAGTGGAACTGGGTGCTGCAGGACACCAGGCACTGAAGGTCAAAGGCCCAACCATTTGTACGTTTATTCAACAAATATTGGTGGACCCGCTCCTAGCAGGGCACACAAGGCACAGTACATATAGTATCTCACATATAGCTACGTATATAGTATGTCAGATGGTGGTATATGAGGGAAAGAAAAGTAAAGCAAAGAGGAGGGATAAGGAGTTTGGTGGGAGGGGCCAGGAGTTTAGGTGTCAAGAAGCTTCTTCATCGACTAGGTGGCTTTTAAGCAGAGACCTGGAGGGAGTGAGTCCTGTGGATCAGGGAATGGGGATGATCCAGGAAAAGGGAGCAGCAGGTGCAAAGGCCCTGAGGCAGGAACAGCAAGGAGGCAAGCAGGGCTGGAAGAGTAGTAGGAGATAGGGTCAGAGGGTGCGAAAGTCATGGGTACGTAACCCGGCAACAGGCTTGGGTGCTGGAGAAAAGGGCAGAACCCGAGGATGCCTCTCCACATGTGAAGGCAGCCCAGGAATTTGAGCTGAGACTGGAGAATTTCGGGGGCTTCACCCTTCCCCAAGACCCCAGATGATAGAGGAACAGCTCCTTCTGGGCACAATCACTAGAGGGACCACTGAAGTCCTGAGGGCCAGGCTGATGGTTGGTGCCTGGGATGGCACTGCAGAGGTGCCATCCACGTGCCACCCCTCCTTACCCCGCCCCCAGGGCCAACAGCAATCCCCTGCACCCAGCCCACCCCCACGGGGCCTCATCTGAGCAGAGTGGGGAAGGGCTGGTGCTGTGGCCACCAACAGAGGCAGAGGCCTTTCCTCCTCTCCTTTCCTCACAGGGTCCTCTCAGGGTGGGTGCCCTCCCCTCCTGACTGCTGACCCTGGCGAGATATCTCAGCCGTGCTGCATCTCAGGCAGGCCGCTGTTTCTCACCTCCACCTCCCCAACAGCCACTGCAGCCCAAGCACTGCCCCAGGGGTAACCTGGCGCTCTGACCTCAGCCCTCCCCTGCAGAAGACCTCAGGGCCTCCTCACTGCCCTCAGGATAAGCCCCCAGCTCCAAGAAGGCCTTGTATATAGCCCCCAGCCTCCCCCAGCCAACCCTTCCCCGGGTATCCCCTCCTCTCAGAACCATGCTCCCGTCACAGCAGTGGCACAACCCGGAGCAGTCAACCGTGGTCACAGCTTCCTGGCCTGCCAGACAACGGGCTTCTGGCCCACGGCTCTGTTGGCCCAGGCTGGGCAGCTTAGGACTCAAGTCAGTGAACCAGGTGAAGCCCAGCCTCTGCCTACCTCAGGAATGTTTCCGGAAGGGAGAGGTCATTGCTCTAAATCTTGAAGGACAGCAGTGAGTTCATCTCCTGGTTCTCACACTTACTGGCTACTTCACCCAGGGCAGGTTACTTAACCTCTCAGTGCCTCAGTTTCCTTACCTGTGAAATGGGATTAATGACACTTTCCTCATCAGGTTGTTGGACATATTAAAAGAAACAACACATGCCAAGCCCAGCTCTTGGCACTGGTTAGGCCCTCAAGAAACAATGGGAGAAGAGTTCAGCATGTGGACAAGGAGGGAGCCAAACAGCGTGGGCAAAGGCCCTGAGCCGTGAGAGCCATGGGTGTTGGTGGAAATGCGTGTATTTGGCACATGTGGAGCGAGGGCACTTCCTGTGGTGACATGGGCTTGAAGGAGTCTGGGGCTGGGTTGTGTCACCTCCCACCTCAGCCTCCCCTGACCCCGGGTGGCTCCTAGACTGTGAGTCTCTGCAGAGCCTGCGATGGGCCCAGTTGTTTCTGAGGGCCAGGCCGGCGGGTCATGCTTGGTGAGCAGTAGAGAGGACTGGGGACATCAGGTCAGAGGTATCCCCAAGGGACTGGGCCATGGCCCAGCAAGCACCCACTGGGAGCCTGGGTACAGTCAAAGCTGTCAGCCCAGGAGGGGGCCCCTGCTAGAGCAAGAGTCAGGAGGCAGGGTGCCCCTCCTGGCCAGCGGGTCTTTCCAGCTCAAACGTCAGGAACCCCTGATTCCCACTCCCTCCTCAGGTCTTCACAGGGATCTTCACAGCAGAGATGACCTTCAAGATCATTGCTCTCGACCCCTACTACTATTTCCAGCAGGGCTGGAACATCTTCGACAGCATCATCGTCATCCTCAGCCTCATGGAGCTGGGCCTGTCCCGCATGGGCAACCTGTCGGTGCTGCGTTCCTTCCGCCTGGTACCCGGCTGGGCCCACCGCAGGGGCGGCAGGGTGTGGGGGGTGGGCCAGGGCACTGAGCACACCCTCTCTGAGATCACCACTTAGTCACCCCAACTTTGATCCGTCGTGCCTTCACCCAACTGCTGTTTGCTAGGTACCCCTGGGTGCCAGGCCCACGGCTGGTGATGTGGAGGCTCAGAGGTGGGCAAGACAAAGAGAAATCCCTCCAGAAGAGCAGTTGGGGTGGCCAAGCCCTTTATGGTTCACCATGACTCCTCCAGTCCTCTCAGGATCCCTGGAGTGGGGCTGGTGTTATCACATCACCATTTCACAGATGAGGAGACAAAGACTCAGAGAGGCGAAACAATTCCCCAAAGCCACATGGCAAATAACAGGTGGAGCCAGGTCTACTGACAGCCCATCTGGGGCTCTGCCTGCTGGTTTTGGAATCAGCATTTTGGAAACTTTAATGCACACACAGATCTCCTGGGGATCTTGTTAAACTGCAGATGCTGATTCAGTAGGTCTCAGGTGATGCCAAAGCTCCGGTCTGTGGCCCATGCTTTAAGGCATTTCAAAATGCCCGGGAGGTCCAGAGAAGGGGCTGGAGGTAGGCCAGGGAAGGCTTCCTGGAGAAGGGCCGAGCTCTGTTGGTGGCTTCACTGGGATCTAGGAAGGCAGAGTAGGTGTTCAGTAAATGCTGGCTCCCTTTCTCTATGATAACTGAGAGGAGAGAAATAAGGAGGTGACTGGACAAGTCAGAGATGGTTTGAGCCAGCCCGGAAGGATGTCTGATGAAGATGAATCTGAAAGAGAAAGAACATTCCATGTTGGGGGATTCTATGGGGAAGTTCCTAGAAGTGAGACCAAGGTGGATAGGAGGCTAGTGTGGGGACAAAGAGAAGAGCTGAGTTGGGGAGAGGATGCTGGAGCTGTTGTCCTCACTCCCAGAGGAGAGCCCAAGGAAGCTGCCCTCAGGCTGTGGAGAGAAATAGTTCCTCTTGGAGGAACAGGTGTCAGTGACCTCCTAGGGCCCCCGGGTTTTCAGGCAGGAGCTACGGGGTGAGGGTGTCCATAGGCAGCAGGAGCCAGAGCCCCTCACAAGGATTCCTGCCTCCACAGCTGCGTGTCTTCAAGCTGGCCAAATCATGGCCCACCCTGAACACACTCATCAAGATCATCGGGAACTCAGTGGGGGCGCTGGGAAACCTGACACTGGTGCTGGCCATCATCGTGTTCATCTTTGCCGTGGTGGGCATGCAGCTCTTTGGCAAAAACTACTCGGAGCTCAGGTACCGCATCAGTGACTCAGGCCTGCTGCCCCGCTGGCACATGATGGACTTCTTCCATGCCTTTCTCATCATCTTCCGCATCCTCTGTGGCGAGTGGATCGAGACTATGTGGGACTGCATGGAGGTGTCTGGGCAGTCGCTGTGCCTGCTGGTCTTCTTACTTGTTATGGTCATTGGTAACCTTGTGGTAAGTTGGCCAGTGGCCTCACATACACACTCACCTACCCATCCATTCATCCACCCATCTACCCACCCATCCAATCGTCTGTCTGTCTGTTAGCTTACCCTTCCTTCCATCCATCTGTTCATTCACTCAGCCATCTATCTATCAAACCATCTGTCTACCTATCAGTCTCTCACCTATCCATCTGTTTACCAATCTATCCGTCCATCTACTCATTTACCCATCCTTCCATCCATCTATTTACCCATCTATCCATCCGTCTACTCATTTACCCATCCTTCCATCTATCTACTAACCCATTCACCCACCTGTGCACCCACTTACCCATTCATCTATGCACTTATCATCAATCCATCTGTTCACTTACCCATTCATTCTTCCATCCCTCTATTCATCCATACATCTACCTATCCAGCCATCTATCCATCATCAATCACTCACCCAGCAACTCACCCATCCATCATCTGTCCATCTCCATCAGTCTTTCTACTCAGTTACCAATCCTCCTATCCATTTATCTACTCATTCACCCATTCATCCATTCATCAACCCCTATCTACCTGTTCACTTTCCAATCCATCGCTTTATCACCTATCCATTCATCTGTCCGCCAGCCACCCATCCATCATCCCCCGTTCATTCATACACACACACACACACACACACCCCTATTCATTCATCCATTTGCCCATCCATCTGTGTACCCATCCATTCACTTGCCCACCCATCCATCTATCCATTTATCCATTACCCATTTTTCCAGTCATTCAACTATCCCTCCACTCATTCATCCACCCCCACATCCATATATCAGCCCACTCATCCAGTCACTCATTTACCAGTCCCATTCATCTACTCATCCATCCACCTATCTACTCCCTTACTCATTGACCCCTCCATTCATTCACATCACTCTTCATTTGCTCATTTATTCATTCACCCACTTATTTACCTGTTTATTCATTATTTACTCATTTTTATATTCAATGATTTATTTATTTACTCATCTACCCATTATTTTATTAGACATTCACTTCAATGATTTATCGCACGGTTTTCCAGTTCAGCTTAACAGACATTTGCTGAGCCCCTATTGTATGCAAATTGTTGTGCCAGATGTTGTTGGGGATACAGAGGTGAATGTGGCCCTGACATTGCTCACCAACTTGAGAGAGCAGAGAGGTGGACAGTTCAAACAGGCATGGAACAACTCTTAAGCTGGTCAGAATGATCAGAGCCATTAAGGGCAAGCCCAGGGGTGCTGATCCCTTCCAACTGTGGAAATCAAGGAAGGCTTCATGGAGGAGGGTTTGGAGCTGACCTGATTGACAGGTGATGCTAGAGAGGGAAGGAGCAAGGTGAGCAGAGCACAGGTGCAGGCAGGTGGTGGTACAGGTGAGGCAGGGCCCGGGAGAGCCTTGTATGTCACCCTGGGTAGCTGTGGTGGAAGTCCCTGCTGTTCTGTCATGAGGGGCCCAGGCCTTTGCTCCCAGGGCCACCTCTCTGTCCTAGGGAAGGTGCATCTTGCCTTGTGTCTTTACAATGTAGGGAATTCTGGAATTGAGAGAGATCAAAATCTAAATGCCAGAGAAGGGGCCTTGGAAAGAGGCAAGGCTGAGGCAAGTCAGTGGTCCAGGAAGAAGTCAGTGTCCACCGTGGAGCCGTCTTCCTGGGTACACAGGTAGCCCACACATGCTCAGATATGGCACCTGCATGGTCTGGCTCCTGCTGGAGTAGGCAGCAAGGCTCACATCAGCTCATAGAGGGATTTTAGGTGGCGCCAGTACTGTGGGCCGCGGATGCCAGATCCCTTCCTCAACCCTGCCTGCTTTCTCCTTCCGTGTGCCTTAACCAGGCTAGGTTGGGGTCAGTCTCCCTCGGGCCTCACAGGTGGAGCCCAGAGAGGAAGCAAGGGATCAGTGCACAGTGCCAATAGAACCCAGCTCTTTGGCTGCCCCCACAGCCCCCCTTCCATCCCTCAAACTGGCTGCCCCTTGGGGTGGAGCCTCCCTCAGCCCCTGGCCCAGCCCGGGAGCCGCCAGACTCTGTGTTCCAAGGAGGATGTGAGTACACCAAGCTCTCAGCCCAGGGCCAGGCTGAGCTGCGCTCACACACGCAGCCCTGTGATTTCCGAGCAGATCTGCCTGGGGATGAGAAGATTAGAGGCTGCTGGAGGAGGGAAGCTAACGCAGCCCACGCAGCCCCCTCCCTGGCCGCCTCAGGAATTGGGCCGCTGCCGGGCGTGGGTGGAAGCAAGATTGCCATTGAAATGGGAAGTGATGATCAGGCAGGGGCTGGGGAGCAGCAGTATGATTGACGGGGAAAGCACTGGAAGAAGCCGATCTTCTGAAGCCAGCGACAAGGGAGGCCCTAGGTCCTGTGTGGGTGGACAGGGCTGCCCAGGCGCCCCCCTGCCCTGCCCCTAGCCTGGGCCCCAGACGCCTGGAGGTCAGGGGATGTGGGGTTAGGCGTGCTGAGGGCTGTTGGGAGGACCCAGGCTGGGCAACCAGGAACAGAGGCATGCCAGGCCTGGGGCAGTGTAGACAGAGGCCAGGGGCCAGGCCAGAGGTCAATGTAGACAGCAGCTCTGAATCACATCACGTGCCTCACCCCCCAGTGACGACATAAAAAATGCTGCCAGGTGTCACAGTGACCCTCTCTCCATAGAGATAGTGTGGGAGCTCCTACTTCTTAACCTTTCCATGCTGCCTGCGTGAATGTGCATTGCTTTCTAAATCAAAGGCATGTTTCTGAGGCCTGGCACTCTAACCTTACCCACTGCTTTCATCATAATTCTTGTTCCCAGCTTTCTGACAAGCATGTCTTGGGGGCTTGTGAGAAGACAGAACAGGGGCTCAGAGTTGGTTTCCAGTGAGAACGGTGCACCCACTTTCACACACCACCCTGCCATAGGGGCCCCCATTCAACCAAACTACCTTCCCGGGGTGGCTGGGAGGAGACACCAAACCGAGGGTAGGGAGGTGTGTCTCTGTCCTGTCGGCCTGGTGATGCTCATGCATCTGGCTGACCCATGTGAGCATGAATGCATGGCCATCTTCATTTTGCTCCGTGAGCCTGGGAAGTGGACCCAAGCCCAGCCCCTTGCCACTCAGCTAAAGTCCTCTTTTTTAACAAAAGCTAAAACTTCACACTCACGCGATGGCTTAACAAGTGGTAGCCCAGAACCATCCAAAGACAGAAGGATTATGCAACCCCCACTTATGAGGTCCCAAGTCCCTAACTCCTGATGAATAACTTATGGAAAGTACTGTGCCTTCTGGTACCTCTGAAACCTCAGCCCCTCTCCTGACTCCCTGGAGCCTAATGGGCCAGCCCTGGTTCCAGGCCCAGGTCCCTCCACCCCATCCCAGTTGTCTAGTCCTGTACACAGCACCCATACAAGCACTGCCCCCCCAACCCCGATGCAGCCACCTCTCCGTGGCCTGACCCTGCAGTTAGTCTCAAATGCCACCTGGCCTCTTTTCCTGCCATTGCCCCCTTCTCTGCTCAGTCCCCCATGTCACTCACCTGGAAAGCATAGTCAGATATGGGGACACAGATCGAGTGTGCTCCACAGCAGGAGCCCCAGATTTTCGAGTGGTGAGCCAGCTTTAGTGGGGAGCTCAGAGGCCCATCACTACCCCTCCTTCACCAACAGACACAGAAGGCCCTTTCCAGGAAAGCCCCAAGAGCTCTGGGTTGCTTCTAGGTGGCATCCTGTCTTGTGCCTGGTGATCGCAGATTGGACCCCACTTCCCAGGGAGAGGCCCTGTGCTCATCCTTTCCCCACTGCCCCCCGTTACTCCCAAGGCAGCAGGCCCCATCTGTAGGCTTGCTCACTGGATGAACCCACTGTTCTCTCATTGAACATGGGCCAAGACACAAGAGACCTGGGTCTGACCACCCTCAACTCAGACTGTGTCTGAGCCCTTGGGAGGAGGGATAAGAATCTGTCTTTCCTTTTATAGCCAAACTCTCTATATTCAACAGAGTGGAGAGTTAGGATGAGGGGCCAGGGCCCAGAGTTCAACCTAGAGTTGTTTGCCTTTGGCAGTCCTTAAGGTCCCTGGGCCTCAGTTTCCCCATCATGGACCCAAGGCTGAGTGCCCATGGCATGGTGCCTGCCTTGGTGAGCCTGATCTGTTACCTCCACAGGTCCTGAACCTCTTCCTGGCTTTGCTGCTCAGCTCCTTCAGTGCAGACAACCTCACAGCCCCTGACGAGGACGGGGAGATGAACAACCTCCAGCTGGCCTTGGCGCGCATCCAGCGGGGCCTGCGCTTTGTCAAGCGGACCACCTGGGACTTCTGCTGTGGACTCCTGCAGCAGCGGCCTCAGAAGCCTGCAGCCCTTGCCACCCGTGACCAGCTGCCCAGCTGCATTGCCACCTCCGGCTCGCCACAGCCTCCAGAGACAGAGAAGGCACCTCCAGCCCGCAAGGAGACACGGTTTGAGGAAGGCAATCGGCCAGGCCAGGGCACCCCTGGGGATCCGGAGCCTGTGTGTGTGCCCATTGCCATGGCTGAATCAGACACGGATGACCAAGAGGAGGAAGAGGAGAATAGCCTGGGCACAGAGGAAGAGTCCAGCAAGCAGGTGAGCCCCTTACCCTTCACGTGTATGCAGCATCTCCTTGTCCGAGGCCCAGGGCTCTGCTGTCCAGGGGACCTGGCCTCACTCAGAGCAGCTGCTCCTGACAAACTACCACAGCAGGGGTGGGGTGGAGGCCAATGACAGGCCGTCCCCCAACAGCCAGCCTAAGAAGGGTGCTGAGACGAGCTCTCAACCGTTTCTCCTGAACCCAGCCCAGGAGGGCATCTTGGGAGGGGCTGTTGTCCATCATTCATCCCCTGGCTGGTCATGGGCAGCTATTTGTACAGAAAGGGAAACTGAGGCACAGAAAGAGAGACTTGCTAGGAGTTCCTTGTGCATCTAGGACAGACCCAGGACCCCTGGTCCCCAGTCTCCATTCGGACCGTTGTCCCCCTCCAGGACTACCAAGGTGGGCTGTCTTGGTGAGGGAGGAGTGCAGTCCCCTGACCTCCTGACTGCCAGGGGGACTTCCCTTCCTCCCAGGCCCAGGCTGATTCTGAGATTTAAAAATAAGCTCTCCTAAGGTGGTGGCAGGTGTCAGAGACAGCACTATCTTATCTCCCAACCTGTTATTTTTAACACTTAGAACCAGAGTCTGGACAAAAGAGATTTTGCCCCCCACCCCCACACTCCCATCCCTGCTCCCTCCGTTCCCCATGGCCTGAGCCAGGCTCGAATGGCTTCTCCTTAGGTCTTTAGGTCAAACAATGAGGACTGGTTCTCTCCGTTTAGCTGGGCCCGTCCTGGCCACCTCCTCTGGGCAGCACCGAGTGGGTCTGGCTATGAAGAGCAGCTGCTCCCCATGCATGGAATTTGATCTGAGGCTCCAGGCTTGGTTCCACATCCTTCTGCTTCGCTATGGTCCTAGAGGCCAGCTTCGGCCCTTTTAGTCAGGCTGTGGGACAGTGGCAGTGTGTGTTGGGGGAGGGGAGTGTTGGCATTGCCAGGACCGTGGCTTCCAGTTATCTCAGGACATGCCCAGCACAGGAGTGGGATTCCAGCTGCCCCTCCTTTTTCTTCTCCTTTTCTTCCCTTGAGCCTGGTGGCTCTGGCTTCCTGGGACCTGTGCGCGTGTGTGTGTGTGTGTGTGTGTGTGTGTGTGCAAGCTGGGGGGGTGCCATGGGAACTCATGGGGGAAGTCAGCATGTCCTTCCTAAGTGGAGTTGCCAGCACTGGGAGGTGGGCATTGCAACCCAGCTGCACCTTTCCATGGAGTAGGAAGAGGGGGAGATATATGGCAGGCTGGTCAGGTGCTTTGTCTGGCTACAGGGCCTTTGCCTGGACCTACCAGGAGCCTCCCATCCACCCACTCAGGGCCCCCGAGGGAGGGGTCTTCGGTGAGATGAGGCCCCGTGAAGAGGGCGGGAGACAAGGCTGCAGTGCATGGGCAGGGCCCAAAGCAGAGCAAAGGCTCTGGAAACGCTCTGGCCAGGTAGCTCATGGGCAGGGGGGTCTCTTCAGCAGGAATCCCATCCTGTGTCTGGCGGCCAAGAGGCCCTCCCGGAGCCCAGGGCCTGGAGCCAGGTGTCAGAGACCACCTCCTCCGAGGCCTATGAGGCCAGTGCTGCTCCGGCAGAAAGGCGGCAGCAGCGGCAAGCGGAGCCCCCGGCCCCAGGGTGCAGTGAGGTAACGCACACCTTCATCCCTGAAGCCAGTAGGCACTGCCGCTTGGGCTGGAGCACGCCTCCTCACTCGGTTCCTGTGCTTCAGTCCTGTTTGGCACACGTTTGTCCTGTAGATCACCCCATCCCGGGGGACTTGGGGGAGCTCTAAGAACAAGTTCTTGGCACATTGGCCTCCAGCTGCTTCTTACCTGGACTAAAGCAGAGGTAGTGAACAGGGGGCCTACTGTAGGGTTTTGTTCCAGCAACAAAAGGCTTTTAATTTGAATTAGCTACCAACCTTTAAAACCCAGGAGATTTTATACAAAAAGTCTGCATTCTGGCTTCTCTTGAAAAGAAGTTAGAGAAGCCACCCTACTGGAGCCAGGTGGTGACCGCCCCCTTGACGCCGGCTGAGCTGTCCAGTTGCAACAGACCCCACCTGCCTGACTTCATTCCATTCATTACCTGCCTGGCCCCCATAAGCGTTTGAGTTTGCAACACCCAACCTAACGGATGAGAGCACTGCTGACTACACCTCCAGCCCACACCCCTACACCGGCTCACACCGGGCACCGTGGAAGGTGGAGGTCACGTGTTCAGAGATGGTGCCGGGGTGCCATTGTCCTGCAGCCTGACCTCGGCCCTCAGTCCAGCCGTGGTGACTTGCTCCAAGGGAACATTTCTCTTTTGCCTTCTCCCTTTCGTGGGATGGGTTCATGGAAGGCTTTGTGATCACGGCCAGCTTTGGAGCAGGGCCCAGTGGAATCATCGTCCTGACTGCGCAGATCACCTTTCTCCCCCTGGAGGGTCTGACACGTGAAGGCACATGGGAACAGGAAGACACAGGAGGGGCAGGAAGTCACAGGGAGAAGGGGCTCCCCTGCTGGAATGTTGAAACTCCTTCCTCCATTCAAATCAGTTCACGGCGGGACCTAGAAGGGAGAGCAAGGTGGGTGAGCCTTTCCTAGGAGAAGGAGCCTTCATCTCTCCTGCAGTGGGATCCTGAGAACGGGTCCTCCCGCAGGATGGCCCCGCATACCTTAGGCAGCTCCAGTGTCTGGTAAGAAAAGCAGCGTGAAGACCTCCTCCAGCTTGTGCCTTTCCCAGCTCAGTGCCTCACGGCAAAGCCAGGAGGAGAAGGGAGGGACCCTCAAGGCCACTGGGGACCCTGAAAGGCAGAGCTTCACCCCTCGGCCATGGCTCCACCGGGCCCGGAGGGGCCCTCTCTGCTTTCCCACTGGGATCCAGCCTTCCCCATCGCAAACCTCAAAGTTAAAGAAGACTTGAGATACCGATGGAGCAAATCATGGAAGGAAAAGAAAAGAAGGCGAGTTTAGGAGCAGAGGCATGCCTAAGAATTCAAACCAGCCGTCTCTAAATGGAGCCTGAGCCCGCGCGGTGGGAAGGGGGCCAGCTGAGCTGAGGGGTTTAGGTGTGACCTGAATCCCACAAAGGCTTCCCTTCCTTCGGAGAACCCCCTGCCACACCTGTCTTCAGGTGGGTTTCTAGAGGCAGAGCTGGAGACAGGCTTCCTGTGCCACTGCTGTATTGAGGGAGGGCTCTCCTGGGAAAGCGATAAGGAGTGAAAGAAGTGGGATGAGGCAGAGGAAGAAGGTCCTGCAGACGTGGCAGCCACGTTCTAGCCACAGCCTGGTCCCGTGGGGAGCTCTGGAGCATGAACTGACCATGGCGTTGTCCCCACCCAAGGCAGGGGCTGGCCTTTTATGTTCCCGTTTCAGTGCATCACTGGGTGTCAGTCATCCCTGGCTTGGATTGTAACCTCCAAGCCATTTCCAGGATGGTGGCTGCCTGTCTGAAGATGATTTTCTGGAGAAGGGGCTGGCTAAGCAGCCAGTGTTCACAGTGGCTGGAAACAGGTGCCCTGGCCTATTACAGGGGAACTGGGCAGAGCACCAGCTGTGGTCACTACAGCACCCTCGATACTAGCCCCACACGTGACACACACAGACACTCACAAGGGCACGCCACACGCGCATGCCTCTTTATAATCAGGTTATGTGACATCAGGGTAGCAGAACCCTGCATGGCCAGGCAGGGAAGTTTCCGGCACCTTCTTGCTCTTACTCCCGGCTCTGCGCATCACAGCAGCAGCCGTATGAACTGAGCGAGAAGTGTAGGCTGGGTCGCTGGCCTGTTCTCTGCATGTCTGACCTTGCACCTATGTGTGCCTGTGAATCTGGTTCAGACTGTTCTGGGTGTGGCATGCCTGTTTCCTCTGCATGTGCCAAGCTACCGTATGTGTCTATGTCCCAGTGTGTGTCCATGGTGCTGCCCTGTGTCTGTTTTATTTCCTCCTGGATGTAGTCCCCATCCCCATTGTTTTCCCAGAACCCCATCACACCCCCTGCACCCCTGCTGTAGACTCCAGCAGATCAGAACCACAGACCCAGGAGCCCTGAGGTCCAGCCTCAATTCGGCCCTGACTGGCCCTCTGTGGGCTCCACGGCAGTTCCCACCCACCCACCCCAAGCTCAGATTCCCAGGGTGTGCTCCCAAGCCTCTGGGCTCGAGGCTGGAGGCTACATGGCCCAGACTCACACCCTTGCCCACCCTGTCCCCACACCCCTGCACACAGACCCAAGAGGACAGTTACTCTGAAGGGAGCACAGCAGACATGACCAACACTGCTGACCTTATGGAGCAGATCCCTGACCTCGGTGAGGACGTCAAGGATCCGGAGGACTGCTTCACCGAAGGTACTGCCCTGGATGGCCCTTTGCCCCAGCCTCAGCCCTGCCCAGAGGGGCAGGAGGACCAGCAGGTCCATGGGGCACACAGCCATATTGCACCCTACCCTGACCACAATGCCTGCCCTCCCTCCCCAATTCCTCATCACCCTGGGAGCTCCTCCATCTGCCCGTGACATGAATCATGGCGAGTCTGCCCACAGTGTGCTGGATTGGACAGCTATGGGTCAGCTGCACTGAGGACTCATGATTCTGCATTTGTGGGGTGGTAACAGAACTCTGTGCCCCCACAGCAGCAGGGACTGCATCCTAGTCACCCCTGTTCACCCAGGCCCTGGCATAGTGCCTGGCATATAGTAGGCCCTCTGTAAATACTCGTGGGTGTAGCATGTGGCCATGTTGGTGATTGGCATCTGTAGCTTTTATGAATTGGTGGTATATTCAGAAGACAGTTGGAAGGTTTCTCTGGGGTGGGGAGGGTTTCCCAGATGAGCAGAGGACAAACTGGAGCCCATCACAACCCCAGCCTTGCCCCTGCTCAGACCTGCCAGGCCCCTCACCCACTCACTGGGTGCCTAGTCCATCCAGCCTCTCCACAGAGTCCCTGCTGAGTGTGGGCCCAAGTGCACAGCACCCACAGTCTTCCTCGCCCCCACCCCTGCCATGGCCCCGCCCACCATGTTGCCCTGTTCATTATCCCATCATTGTAACCTCTTCCTCTTAGTCATTCCTTCAACCATCAGACATGGGCATTCACAGGCCCTGATCTGGGCCTGACCCCTCACCATCCCTCATAGGCTGTGTCCGACGCTGTCCCTGCTGCACTGTGGACACCACGCAGGGCCCAGGGAAGGTCTGGTGGCAGCTGCGCAAGACCTGCTACCGCATTGTGGAGCACAGCTGGTTTGAGACATTCATCATCTTCATGATCCTGCTCAGCAGTGGAGCACTGGTACCCTCCTGGGGATGCAGGGTTGGGCAGGGAGGGATGGAGGAGCCGGGGAGAGTGGGGAAAGGAGGTCTCCAGCTGGAAAGCCAGGCCAGAGACTGGGGCAGAGCCTCTGCTGAAAATGCACTCCCCAGGGCCCCAGATCAGGGATCAGCTCACAAACTCTCAACACCCACAGCAGGTAGGGAGGTCAGATAAGGTCAAATAGGGAGGCAGGGAAGGGCTCACAGAGGTCATCTGTCCAGGCTCCCTTGTTCCACGAAAGGAAAATGATTTACCCCAGATCACAGTGCACAGCTGGCATAGGCTGCAGGTCAACAACCTCCCATGCCTGAGCTCTGGTGACACACCCACCTGCACACAGCCTCAGGCGCTCCATCAGACCGTTTCAATGCAATTGACAATGCTGGCTGATACTACAGTGGTAGCTCCACTTATCCCATGTCTTCTAGAGCTAGAGGCCAAGCTATGTAGTTCATGCATTATCACATTTAATCCCCACAACAACCCTTTGTAGAAATATTAAGTAACTTACCCAAGGCCCCACCACTCACAAGCAGCAGATGTGGCCTTTGAACCCAGACAGTTGAATTCCAGAGTCCTTTGTCTTGACCCTCCCTTTGTTCAATAGGTCGTTTCTAAGCTCTTCTTGTATCTAGTCCTGTGAGCCACAGGGAAGCAATAGGAGGAGGAGACCCCAGACTGGCCTTGAGCTCCCAGTCTAGTTGGGAACGCCAGGTTCAGCAGGTTTGAGATAGTCAGAGATCAGCTCAAGAGAGTTGAGCAAGAACGGAGATGACTCAGGATTTTGGGAGATCAGGGGGAACTGGAGCAACCAGGAAGACTCTCTGGAGGAAGCAGATGGAGCTGCACTGTGGAGAACAGGGAGGTTTGTTGAGGCCAGGAGGAGCAGTGAGCCCCTCTAGGGATCCCTATCTGGCTCCCAAGCACCCTTCTGTGACCTCTCAGAGCCCTTCTCAGAAGAGATGGAATAACCCTGGAGAGGGTTCTGGAAGGTGCTAGTGAGCAGGAGAGGGGTGATCAAGAAGGCAGAATAAACAAACTTTTCTGGCCCAGGAGAAGTAAGCACCTGATATTTCTGGGGAGGTGAGAACGCCATGGATAAGCAAGTAATAGGGAATGCTTTGGACTACAGAGTGGGAGAGGGCCATTTCGATCCGAGGCTATGTGCCTCCAGTCTGTGCTGCCTCCTGTAGGGGCAGGCCATGGGGAGGCACTGTGGCCGTCACTTCTAAAGCTCTGGGCCTCCCACCCACCCTGTGCTGCCTCACCCCTATTCCAGAGTGGGCCCGGAGCCATGATTTGCAGGCTGCATGCTGTTTTACCATCGGCAGCTAGAGCCAAATCTCCGTAGGCTTCAGAGAAGGATGATTTGACAATATGTTAACGAGTTTTGTTTTTAAACAGCCACAAACAAGGGCAGCCAGAGCCATTTAGTCTGGGCTGCAGAGGAAAAGCTCAGCCTGGCATAAGTGAGGAGGAGTTTTGGCAAGCAAGTGGTGAATCTAATCAGGATAGACAGCCAAGCACTGTTAAAAAAAAAAAAAAAAACCATGTCAATGATATATTGAGAAAAAGAAGTCTGAGTGTGTTATTTAAAGTTATAAACTTGTTTAACAGAAAGCAGATTATATATCTCTTCCAAATTGCTGAAGGGAAAGTTTTTAAAGAAAACAGAGATCTTACCGCAAAAGATAGGAGAAAAAAAGAAGCAACAAGGAAACATTAAATCAGGAAACAAAAAACAATATGGCAGAGGCAAGATCAAACAGGTGTCTTAATAATAAATGTAATTGGATAAAATTCATCTTTTAAAAGAAAAGGACTCAATAGATTAAAAAAAAAACACCTCAGCCATGTGCTCTCTGAAACAGTGTGACTCAGAAATATTAAAAGTAAAATAATAAGGGGCCAGCCCAATGGCACAGTGGTTAAGTTCACTTTCTGCTTCAGCAGCTCAAGGTTCACCAGTTCAGATCCCGGGTGCAGATCTGCGCACCACTTGTCAAACCATGCTGTGGCAGGCATCCCACATATAAAGTAGAGGGAGACAGGTACAGTCTTCCTCAGCAAAAAGAGGAGGATTGGCCGCAGCTGTTAGCTCAGGGCTAATCCTCCTCCTCAAAAAAAAGGTGAAATAATAAGATATACCAGACAAATGCAAACAATGGCAACAAAAATCATAGTGTTTTTGTCTGTTAATATTAAACAACATTAAATTCAAGGTAAAATGCTTCAGATAATACAAAGAGGGTCGAACCTATAATAAAAATATAACTATTATGAGCATATTGGCTTGGGATTGCATAGCACTTATATAAAGCAAGAACCATTGGGGGAAAAAACATTAAAAAGTGGCAACCGTGTAATAGTACAGGGAGATTTTACCACACTTACATTATTTCTTGGCAAATCAAATAGAAAGAACAAGACAATGAAAAATCTAAAACATACATAGAATTAATAAATTTTATCTAAGTTAATAATAATAAAAATAATAGCTAACACTTTAATAGCACTTGCTATGTGCCAGACCATGTTTAAATATCTTACAAACATTAATTCGTTTAATTCTCACAGTTACCCTATGAGATAGGTATTATTATTAAGCCTATTTTACAGATAAGGAAACTGCTAGATCTAGCAAAAATAGGAAAATTAAAAACAAACCTTTAGAAATATAAAAGTCATTCTTAAACCTTAAATCAAACAGAAAGTAGTTTGTAATAGGTTCATGGGTGTTTATTATATTAATAAGTAAGCAAGTAAATAAAATGGTCTGTTCATGGACCAAAGATGACAGTGTGTCATAAGTCAAAGATTATGATTCAATCAGTTCTATCCACCTGAAACCTAGAAAAATAAGAGATGAAAAATAGAAGTAGAGAAAAAACTGTGACTAGGGGGAAAAAACTAGAAAATAACAATATTGAGAAGATTGCATGTGGGATGCGGCCAAAACTGTGATAAGAGTAAAATTCATAGACTTAAATACTTTTATTATTAAATAGAAAGAATGTAAAGTAATTAAGAAATTCACTCAAGAAATTAGAAATATAACAACAAAATCTTCAGGAAAGCAAAGGAAGTAATTAATAAAATAAAAACATTAATAAATTAGGAAATAAATAGTGAAACTGATAAAATTCCAAAGCTGATTCCTTGAAAAATTAAAACAATCAAATAGATAAGCCACTAACTAATCTAATTTCTCACATCTCCAAGAGTGGATTCTTTCATGTTCTCAAGGAAGAAGATAATTCCAATCCTATTTAAAATATTCTAGTGTATGAAAAAAGGTGGAAAGTGTACAGATTCTTTTTTTGAAAGCTAAATAATGCTGATTTTTGAAACCTTAAATATACCAAAAGGAAAACCATGGACCAGTTTTCATACTCCATACTTATGAACAGTGATGCAAAAATCTTAATAGGATCCAGCAATATATTTAAAACATGAAATAAGTCATAGCTGAGTATATTCTAAAAAGTCGGAATGGTGCCATATTAGGAAGTCTATTTATATGAATAGGACAAAGATGAAAAACCATACAATTATCTCAATGAATGCTTAATTTTTAAAACTTTGTTAAGAATAGAAATAAATCCATTTCCTTAATTTAGTGAAAAACTTACTCTCAAATTAACTTCCATCCTCATCATTAGTAGTAAAACACTTGAAACATTTTTATTAAAGTCAGGAATAAGAAAAAGGATGATTTAACTACTTTTTAGCTATTGTTCATTATTTAATAATAATTTGGAAGTACTAGCCAGTGCAGTTAATCAAGAAAATTAAACATACAGTATGAAAATTGGAAAATAGAAGAATTGAAGTCAGTATACCCAAGTGTAAAACAAGAGTTAAAAAATAATAGAAATATATCATTACTTGTAGATAATGATTGCCTAGAAAAATTTTAAAACCTATTAAAAATGTGACATGGCCAGTTATATAATAAATGTACAGGTAATCGTTGCTCTTCTTCTTGTTTTATACTAACAGAAGCCGTTTAGTCACAGGTAACATTTCTTGAATATTCCTTACATGCCAGGCATTGTGAACATAAAATAACTGAGAATAAATATAACATGAAATGTGTGAAAGGTACATGAAGACTAAAAACTTTGCTCAGGAATGTAAAAGAAGACAAATAGGTAAACATACAATAAAGATACTTTGATCTTAGGTAGGAACACGATTAGTTCCCAAAATAGTTAATATATTCCATGCAATAACAGTAAATTTCCGTTTTTGAGGGAACTTGAAAAGCATTGCTAAAGATTATCTTGAATATTATTAAACATGGCCAGGAAAATTCATATGATACTAATTCAGAAAGAGAGAGAGAACAGTGGAACCACATAGAGAGGTCTGAAATAGATTTAAGTAAATATGGAAATATGGTATATGATAATGTTGACTTCAAATTGTAGATTTGAAGTGGATTCTTTAATAAAGTGTTGGGACAATTAACAAGTTACTCTGAAAAAAATAGTCAAGGGGCTGGCCTGGTGGTGTAGTGGTTAAGATTGGGTGCTCTGCTTCGGAGGCCTGAGGTCTGCAGGTTCGGATCCTGGGTGCGGACCTACGTACACACCACTCATCAAGCCATGCTGTGGCAGTGTGCCACATACAAAGGAGAGGAAGATGAGCACAGATGTTAGCTCAGGGACAATCTTCCTCACCAAAAAAAAAAAAAGTCAAGGTGACATTTGTTCTTTACCAAAATATATTTAGATTTTTTAAATTGTAACATAAAACAATGAAACCAGAAAGTGAAAAGAAAAGAAGGGTCATTTTTTTCTAGCTTTGGAATAGGCAAAGACTTTCTTAACATGATGCCAAATGTTTTACTAAATGAAAATCATAATAAACTATATAATGACATTATAGTAAATGATATAATAAATAAATGAAATACAATGAATTCGTATAATGAATATATGAAAAACAATAAATGAAAATGAAGTGTAGAACTTCAGTATGGTAAACAGGATTTAAAGGCATGCGGCTAGGATAAAGTGTATCAAATAAAGAGTTAATGTCCCCAAATAAACCAGACACTCAAGTAAAAATATAGGCAAAGGAGGTGAACAGGCAAGTCACAAAAGGACTGCCACAAGTATCCAAGTCAGCATTGCTAGTCATAAAATACATAAAAATGTAAACAAACAATTTTTGTTCATTAGGCTGGGAAAAGTGACAAAGGAGAAACACCCACCGGTGTGGGTAGAGTGGTGGGGAAAGAGCCATCTTCGTGCACTGTTGGGGGAATGTCAGTTGGTGTCCCCTTCTGGAGGTCCTGTTCCCAATCTGTACCAAAAGCATACCTTTGACCTGGCCTCTCAGTTCTAGAAATTTGTCTTCAACAGATAATCAGACACATTATTCATTGCAATGTTGTTACTATGAGGGATAAATTGGAAACAACCAGAAATGTTCATTAATCGGATTATTGGGCTAAATAAACAGTAGTATATGCAAATAATGAAATACTATGTAGCCTTTAAAAAGAATGACATTGTGTGTAGTCACATCATTGAGTAGAAAAAATGTTCACAAAAGATTGTTTAGTGGAAAAAGAAATTTCAAAGCAAAATATTTAGTATATGTTATAAAATTTGTGCTCACACACACACATGAGTGTTGAAAGAATATGCATCTAAATGTTAGCAGTGGCTACTCTAGTGTCATGAAATTGGAGGAGCCCCTTATTCTCTTTTTTATAATTTCTATATTATTTAATTTTTTTAATAAGAAACACACATTTTTATAATCAGAAAAAACACACCTACTTTTTAGCTTGAATAACTCCCAAAGTCCATTGGGGACCTGAATTATCCTGTTGTCCCGTCTACACTGACCAGATTAGCATATGTCTGCCTCAGCAGTGCGTACAGCGAGGGCCGCCTGGACCCCTGCAGCTCACAGAGGCCCTGCAGTCAGAGAGGGAGGCCCAGAGCGACAGGTGGAGGCAGCCCCCCAGGGCCCTCTGTGACGTGTTCAGTTGCCTAGACTGGGAGCCTCAGAGCACGCTCTGACAGGGAGAAGTAACTCAGGAGAAGCAGGTACAGATCAGAAGACTGGTGTGGCAGAGGGCAGCTGGCAGCCATCAGTTTCTCTGTAGGCTCAGGAATTTGGGTTGAGGCAGGAACAACGAGCTGGAGAAAGACAACTGGCATTTTAGAAACGTCCACCCCTAGATTCTGAGCATGCAGGAGGTTTGACTTTATTTAGTCCTGTGTTTCCTGAACTTCCTGTCTACAGACTGCCTATACCATCGTTTATTTAAAATTTAGCTTTAGATCAGCTCTCATTGGTTTTTTGTTTGTTTAAATAAATTTGTCGTAAAGGGAAACTTTTAATGATTCTTATAATGGCAAGCGAATATAGTTTCCCATGAAAAGTAGGTAACTGTATAAAGTAAATAGAGTAAAAACGAAGTGGAGAGAAAACAAAAAAATGTTTTGTATTGTTCCTAGCAGCAGGCTACAAGCCGAGCCTGCGCGACCTCACTCCTTGTTAAAGCGGGAGATGAGCAAGTTTTAGAAAGGTCTTAAAGATGCTCTAACCCAGAGCTGAGACTTGCTCTTTATGTGAAGGAAGATCCAGTCTCACTGGCATTCTGCCTTGTTGTCCACATCCCGCGTAAGATGTGTTCACGGCCCACATGTGCACACGCTCCTTGGAGAGCAGGCTGAGGTGGTCCAGTGCTGACCGTGGAGGGACCCCCTCCACTACCCGTCTCGCCTCTGCTCCCCACCCTCCTGGGTGGCACTTACTGTTAGACATGAAGCTGGTGCAGGGTGGGGTTGGCAGTGGTCAGGGTGTCATGTCCGCCTTGTCCGACCTGGTCTGCAGGCCTTTGAGGACATCTACCTGGAGGAGAGGAAGACCATCAAAGTCCTGCTCGAGTATGCCGACAAGATGTTCACTTACGTCTTCGTGCTCGAGATGCTGCTCAAGTGGGTGGCCTACGGCTTTAAGAAGTACTTCACCAACGCCTGGTGCTGGCTCGATTTCCTCATCGTGGATGTGAGTGGGGGGCCCTGAAGGGAAGAGAGGAGCGGGGAGACCCGTTGCCAGTGCGAGAGGGAGCTGAGGCAGAAGGACAGAAGGACAGAATGACGGGGCGGCAGGAGTCAGCAGGCTGGAGTGGAGGCGCTCAACTGTGTCGTGGGGCAGGCAGAAGGACAGGAGCCTGGAGTCTGGGATCACAGAGGAGAGGCCTGGGCCCTGCCATCAAGACCCCAATTTGGGGAGATGGAGGAGCAGGGGTCACCTGGGCCCTGCCTCAGGAGCCCCCAGGCTTCTGGGGGAGACTAGACCCACCATGGGGGACAGTGAAGAGCAGTCCAGGCAGGCGTGTGAGCCGGGGCAGGAGTGGGTGCTCACCGTCTCGGGGTGGCCAGAAGAGCGGGGAGCAGACAAGCCTGTGCTGCAGCACTCACCACGGCGTGCTGTGAAGTGTCTGCCAGGCCCACTAGACAGATGGCCAGTTAAGAGCTTCCATGCCCACACCCAGGAGGGGGCTGTCTGTACAGCCCGAGGCCAGAGGGGACAGGGTTGGTGAGGGGATGCTGGGCGGGCAGGGGAGAGCCTCCTGGCTCAGGTGGAAGATATCACTTAGGGAGGATGAGCCAGGGGATGGAGGGAAGGAGGAAAGCCATGAACACTGGCTGAGGGGTTCTGGATTGCTGCCCTGGACAACCAGGTAGCTGGCAAGGCTTGCCTGCCCGGGGTGTGTCCGGGGAGGGCCTGGGGAGGAGGCTGGCATGTCCTCTCTTTACCAGTTGGCAGATGGAGTGGGAGGGCCCTGCCCCACAGCTTCCTGGACCCCAGGACACTGCTGGGTGCCAAAGTAGGGTGAGTGTAGGGTCCAGCGGGGTTCCTGAACACGGTCAAGTGGGAGAGCAGCCAGAGAGGGAAGAAGTGAGACTCCAGATGGGGAGCAGCCTCAGGTGCGCACTCACGGAGGGCAGAGGGAGCACAGCGAGGGCAAAGGCTCAGGTGAGGGCTCACCATCAGGTTGTGGTGGGTCCTGTAGAACAGAATGTGGGTCAGGATCTGCAGACTGGGAAGAGCTTTCCAGAAGGCGCCCATGGCTTCTAGGCTTGGCATCAGGCTCTGCCCACCAGCAGGGGCTGTCCTTCCTGTGGTTATATAACAGGCTCAGGCCTGTGCTCAGTCCCGACACCCCACTCAGAGGCCAAAGGGAGGAGCTCAGCCCCCAGGAGCCCCGGCCAGGGTCTAGGCCTGGGTGGGAGGTCAACCATCAGTGGCTGTGGCAGGAGAGGCTCCTTGGGCTAGAGTGGGCATGGAGACACAGATCCAGATCATTGGGTCTCCAGTCCAGGCTTCCTTCTATCACTCCAAATGGCTGAGAGGATGCTAATGCTGGGGGGAGGGGTGCTGGGTGGCAGGGAGGGAGGGAGGGAGCTCTAGATGCCCTGACAGCCTGGAGCCCTCCAGTCTCCCTGAGATGAAGGAGGGCCCCCTGAGGCCTCCCTGCTGAGGGACTGCGGGGAGGCCTGGGATCCTGGCATCTCCGCCCCAATGCCCCCTCACCCAGCTGTTCCTGCAGCTTCTTTGGAAGTTGGGCCTGCGGAGGGACTCCCCCAGGCAGGCCAGAGGGAGTTTGCAAAGATTTCGGGGGAAGCCCACCAACACCCCACCACCTGCCACCTTGCGGAACTCAGAGCTGAGGCTGGGCAAAGGAGATGGTCAGTGCGTCCTACCCAGTCCCAATCTCAGAGAACGAGGCTGTGGAGAGGGAAACTGAGGCCCACAGTAGGGAAGGGTCTTGCCCAGGGTCAAGCAGAAGGAAGTAGGTGCTGGAATCCAGCTTTCCTGATGCTGGCCACGCTCCCCCCCCCTCCACCCTACACTTGGTGGGAAAGGTGGACTCCAGGCCTCCGGACTGGAGAAGGGTGTTTCCAGGATCCATTCAGGCACTTTTTCAATAAATACTATTGAGCATCTACTGTGTGCAAGCGCTGCTGTCGGTGCCGGGGGTGTTGGGGAGCAAAATAGACAAAGCCCCTGCCTGCACGGAGGAAGGCGACTGCGAACGGTCAGATCGTCATAAGCTAGTCTTCTATTAAGTCAGAAGGTGATGTGAACTGTGGAGCAACAGGAATTGGAGAAGGGAAGGGATTAGGAGGGCCCAGACTCAGGGGAAGGGAAGGTATCCATTACGACTTTAAATAGACTGGCCAGGGTGGGCCTGCTGAGGCCACATTTGAGCAGATTTGAAGGAAGTTGGAGTTAGCCAGGCAGATGCCTGCAGAACATTCCAAGCAGAAGTTGGAACAGCAGTGCAAAGGCCCAGTGGTGGGAGCCTGCCTGGCATACTTGAGGAGCTGCAAGGAGGCCAGAGTGAATGAGGAAGGGAAGTGCAGGCAATGAGGCCGGCCTGCCTGGGGCAGAAGGGTGCAGCCTTTGGAAAACATGGGCCTTTATTGAGCATGAAATGGGGGGCCCTTGGAGGGCTTTGAACAGAAGAGTGACATCAACTGACTCCTGTTATTAAAGGGTGACCTTTTAATCCTTGATGGGGGTGGGAGGTGGGGGCGGGGACTCGAGCAGAAGCAGGGAGAAGAGTTGGGAGGCTGTGGCAGTGATCCAGGGAACGATGACGCTGGCCTGGCCAGCATGGTGGCAGTGGAAGTGGTGAGAAATTTTTGGACTTCTGATGTATTTTGAAGGCAGAGCCAACAGGAAATCCTGATGGGTTGGATGTAGGGTGTGAGAGACAGAGAGGAGGCAGGGATGACGCCAAGGCTTGTGGCCTGAGCAGCTGGAAGGATGGAGTTGCCATCGACCGAGATGGGGGGACCGTGGGTGGAGCAGGTGGGGGAAGCTCTGGAAAGAATGGAGATGACAAGGTTGGCCTGCTGGGAACTAGGCAGGCTGACTGTCCGGACCTGGTCTCTGGGGCCCTGCCCTCAGGAAGAGGTCTCTGAGAGATGTCCGTCTGCCTCTCTAGGAATGGGGACCACCAACCCAGCATCCTCGAGGGGTGAGTGGGGGCAGCACAGAAGTTGATCCTGGGAGTCTTCCTCTGATCCCCTCTGCCCAGCCCTCTCCCAACGCAGTGCTTCCAAGCTTAAGCCTGGGAGGAGGCTGTGGGAGTCAGGTCCCTGCCCGCCCTCTCCACCCCCAGGCTGCCCTGAGTGCCAGGGTAGTGTTAACAGCAGTTGCAGGGGAGGTCAGGCAGGAGGCCATTTCCAGCCTCTGATCACAGGCCAGCAGTGAAGGAAGCGGGGACTGGATGCCCGCAGAGCTTTAGAAGGATAAAGTTCACGGGGTGGAAATGCCCCAGTGGGGATGGGACAGAGGGAACAAGAGCTGAGGCTCCCGTTACCAACAGCATCTTCCCCTGTGTCTCCCTTCTTTGACCATGTTGGAATGTGGCGAAGTCCAGCTTTGGGGAAATTGTCTGCTCATACTCAACCAAGATGATCTTTTCTTCCAAAAAGAGGCTTTTTGTGGGGAGGGAAGGGAAAGGCACAAGAATTTGACTTGAAAGGAAGCACGTGGGGACCAGAAACCCAGACTTTGTGTCCCTGCCCCTCCCCACCAGTGGGTGGCTTCGGAACTCAGTTTGCTCACCTGTGGAAAAGGTTTGATGCATTCCTAGTCCTGGGGGTAGTGGGGCTATTGCAGACAAGCATGTGAAGTGCACATAGCAAGCTCTCGGTAAATGTCTGACAGCCAGGATGCACTGGCTCACCCCCAGCCTCTTGGGCCCCAGGAAGCTTGCCCAGTGCATGATGGCCTGTGAAGACGATGCAGCCAGGCATGGTAAAGATTGGACATGGGGAAGGCCTGCTGGCTCTCTCACGCAAGCCCCACTACCTGTCTCGGGAGCTATGTTGATGTCCTCACCCCACTTTGCCTCCCACAGGTCTCATTGATCAGCCTGGTGGCCAACACCCTGGGCTTTGCTGAGATGGGCCCCATCAAGTCGCTGCGGACGTTGCGTGCGCTCCGACCCCTGCGAGCCTTGTCCCGCTTTGAGGGCATGAGGGTAAGAGGAGTAGCTGCCTTCCTGCAGGGGCAGCAGGAGGTGACTCCACTGAGGGGACCCCCGGTCTCAGCTTGCTGAGCAAGCGGCCCAGCCTGGAGCTGGGTCTGGGGCCCCCATGACTTGATAGGAACATGGTACAGCATCTGCTGGAGAGGCACAGGTGAGTTTGGAGGCACTGAGAGGCTGGAGAGCTATGAGAACCCTCCCCCAAGGCCTGTCATCTCCAGCCCCAGGGGCTCCATGAGGCCAGGAGAGTGGTGGATCAAAGAGAGGAAGTGAGGCGCTGGGTGCAGGTGTCTCAGCTGCAGCCCAGCCCCACTGGCCCCAGGCCCCTCTGATTTTGCTCTCCTGCAGGGCCTCGTCTTTGTGTGTGCCCAGCTCCGTGTGCCCTCCAGGCCACTTTCCTGTTGTCTGCGATGCAGGAGTGATAGTGAGGGCAAAGGGAGCAAGGAAGGAGCAAGCTATATTCTCACCGTCAGATACCAGTTTGCATTTGCTTAGGAAACTCTTCTTCACTACTTTCTAAGTGCAGAGCCCTATGTATTTTTCATGTCACCAAATTTTACCAAAGAATGTGCACATATAAAGCAAATTTAAAAGCCCACCAAGAAAAAACATTACTCATAATTATAGCAAGAAAACAAACGTGTGTGTGTTTGTGTGCGTGCATTTTTTATTTTTGTTTTTGCAAAATGTCCACAGTTCTCTTGTGTCTTCAGCAGCCCCCATTTGGTTGATGGCTGTGAACTTTGCCCGCACCCCCAATTCATGGAGAAACGAATCACTCACTCCTCATAGAAAATCATTCACAAGTGAACAGTCTGACCCAAGTTAAATGTATCTTTGGGAGCAAGGATATTTGATTCCAGAAGGACATGGGGGAGATGCTCATTGCCAGGAATGCCTCTGCCATGGCTTTCGGCTACAGAGCCAGCCAAGGGCAAACTTGAGAGTTGGGTTTCCCACTTCGTTTCTGGGTTCATCGTGCTTGCCAGGGAACCAGGAACCCCTCTTGTTTGCCTGTGTCGGCATTACCCGTCCTGGCACCATGCCTACCACGCAGACTACACCAGCTTCACTTCCAGTCTGCATGGCAAACATGTTCCTGGCTCCTGGACACCTGGGGATTTGGTTCCTCAGTAGAGTAGAGCGCCCTATATGCCTTTGCCAAGGAAGCTTCTCCTGGGTGCTGTGAGTTTAGATGCAGAGCATGAGGCTGTGGCTCTGTGGGGTCGGAGAGCCACTCCCTGGGAGGGCAGAGGCACAGGGGGGCACCCACAGCACATGCTCTCCCAGCTCTGCTCTCACCACAGCGTTGAAGAACTGTCAGCACCCTCCAGACATACACATGAGGTCCCCTGGGCATACTTTAGGGGAAAAAAGCTCATCCATCCTGGTAGCAGCAGCCCCAAAATAAACCAGAGACTTAGCTCAGAGAATGTGTCTCCAGAGGCATTCCCATCAGTTTCTGGCATACTCAAGCAGCAGAGACCCAGTTGAAAATTAAATTTGAATGTCATGCATTCAGGGCAGGCCCAAGAAGGGAAAGGCAGATGTTCTGGAGTTGCGTCAGACTTTAGGGTGCAAAGAAAAAGCTGTGTGTTCTCCCTGACTCCCCTGACTCCCCACCACGGCTTCCAGCCATGGGTTGCCCTTCTCTGGGGACAGGAAGTATTCTATACCCCTGCCCCCACAGGGACCTGCAGCCAGGGAGTTCAGCAGCTGGAGGGGGTTCTTACAAAGGGCATATGCTCTGGGCACCCCCAAGAACTGAGCCTCTTCTCCGTCCACTTGAGGTTGTGGTCAATGCCCTGGTGGGCGCCATCCCGTCCATCATGAACGTCCTCCTCGTCTGCCTCATCTTCTGGCTCATCTTCAGCATCATGGGCGTGAACCTATTCGCAGGGAAGTTTGGGAGGTGCATCAACCAGACTGAGGGAGACCTGCCTTTGAACTACACCATCGTGAACAATAAGAGCGACTGTGAGTCTTTCAACGTGACTGGCGAATTGTACTGGACCAAGGTGAAAGTCAACTTTGACAACGTGGGGGCCGGGTACCTGGCCCTTCTGCAGGTGGTAAGTCCTGGAGAGGAGGGACTTGCTTCCTCCCATTGGCTTTCCAGCAACAGGCGCCTTCCCTCGTGGTCTGGGCAGGAGGGGGACAGTGAGGCCACTCTGAATCCTCACAACAGAGTCACACTGCCCAAAGGAGGCTAAGAATTTTCCAGACGCTTCTTGGCTGCTTGGGATGTCCCCAGATCTTCCGTTCTAGAGCTGATGCCACATTCTCCAGGATGCCTGGCATGGGGGTCAGCACTGTGGCAGAACCAGCTCCGCAGCCAGGAGTCAGGCTGACCTCCTCACGCTCTCAGTTTGGCAGTGTAATGACACAGGTTAAAAATGAACGACCATAGCCACCCAGAGACTGAACTAGTAGCAAATTGTGACTCTGGCCACCCCTCTTTTATAAAAGGTTGTGATACCTCCTGCGTTGTTTAAAAGAATATATTTACTTCCAACTCTGATGTGCAAGATGCGTGATCTTTAAACTCACACAGCCCTACCTAGTCTTTTTAGAGTTTCCATTGATTTGTTAGCATGGTGGCTTCAGTGATTATAACACATGCCATAAAATTAACCAACAAATATCCCTGACAACAGAAATGCAAACAGAACCATAACGCACAAAGCTGCAGTTTGCTTTTCTTGCATTCCCAATCTTAAGCCCAGGCGTCTGTCGCTAGTCCCCAAAACAAAGGAAAACTCAGTGGACTCTTCCCTGAAAACTTAATGTGGATCCACTCCACTTCCACCTGCCCCTTAAATCCCAGTAGTAGCTTTCTCCAGAGACTTCCCTGAAATGCCTCGTGGAGAACAGGATTAGAGCCAAACCGAGAGAGCCTGCCATCCCTGTGACCGTCCCTCTGAATGTCAGAACTTGGAAGGAAAGGCCCCTTCGTAGGCTGAGAACCGCACAGTGGCTGGAAAGATTTCAGTCACGAATACCTCGTGACATTGGGGCTCCCCAGCAGTTTCCAAAGCACTTCCAGGCCTCTCTTTACAGGTGAGGGCCCCGTGGCACAGGGAGCTGAAGTAGCTTGCGCTCTCTGGAGCAGCTTCTGTTTCCCCATGTGCCCTGCCTGCCTCCTAAAACTCTCAGACATGGAAAGTTTGTGTGGACGAGCTTGTGCCCTGAAAGGAGGCTCGGGGCAGGATTGGATTTTGCCAAGGACACAAGTGGGACCCACTGGACAGTCGGTCTCACCACCAAGCATGACTCTCAGGCTCTTTCTGAGTCTTCACAGCAGCCCAGACGGGCAGACAGTGCAGCCAGCACCATCGCATTCCACCTCCCTCTCTCCTGCCTTGGTGTGGTGTGCTAGAGCCAGCTTGTGTGGGCTCACAAGAGCTGATTCTTACATTTTCAGATATTTTGCAAGCCATTATTAAAAATTAGATTTTATAAACTTAAAATTAACTAAATAATATTACAACAAAATCACAACTCATCATTCCCGTTTATTACTATCTGTGCTCTTGAGGTTGTTTACATTTATTGTACCCATACAGTGGAAATACTGCAATGCCATGCTCCGAGGCGTCTCTTCCCAACTCTGTGTTCAGTGACGACAAACTGGCCACCTAAAACCAGCCAGGGTGGGACTGTTTACTCAGAGAAGTTGGCAGACACAACAATCAGGGCTTTTTCTCTTCTGGAATGCCATTTGTTAGCTATTTACCAACACACCACTGGCCAAAGGACCCCCTTAAGTACAGGGACGGTTGGAATTCTTCAGGGATTTCCTTTAAAAGGCCATGGAGCAGAAGCTACAAGGTTCTCTGAGGTGCATGACAGAGGGGACCAGGTCAGCCTGGGATCCACCTTAAGCCAGAACAGAGAGCTCAAACCCCACCTCTCTGGCTCTGACACCTGCTTATAGGATTCTCATCATTTTAGAATCTGAAATGAATGTGGATCTGAAGGGCAGACCTCATCAGTCTCTTGGCCAACATCAAGAAGCTTATTCCCCCACTGTGTGGCCTTCTTGGGGTATCTGCTCTGCTGGCTTCCCCTCCACCCCTTGCCCTGAACAAGAAGGCCTTTCCCTGACTCCCAGCTATTCGGACACGGCTGAAGGGGTGGGGTGGGCTGCTTGCTTCTTGTAGGAGGCTATTTCCTGGCCTCATCTGTGCAGACAGGAACCCTAAGGAGCTCGATAGGTGCCGAGTTAAATAATTTTCTTACTCCTGTCTTTTCTTTCCAGGCAACATTTAAAGGCTGGATGGACATTATGTATGCAGCTGTGGACTCCAGGGGGGTACGTTGCCTCACTGGTTTCTCCCACCAAGTCAAGCACCTGAGGCTCCCGGCTGCTGGGCCGCCAGGGAATCAGTGTCCACGTCTGAAAGCCCACCCCATAGGGGCCAGATCCCTTGTGTCAACCTGGAGTTGAGCCTCTCTGGAATGCCCAGGCCTGGCCCTGGGGCAAGACTGTGTGGTCTCCCAAGGAATCCCAAAATTCTCTAATATCTTTCAAATTAAATTCACTATAATTTACTTGAATCTTAAAGTCTTACACCAGGAGGATGGGGTGGAAGCAACAGAGACGCAAGTCAAGTTTCTTCTTTGTCCTTGTATGCCACCCAGTCACACTGACAGTTCATTGAAGATTGGGAGATGCCCAATATACTCAAACCTCCCAATGGCCCGGGGCAGAAGCCGTACAGTGACACTATGCCAGCCCTGAGCCCAGCATGCCTCCTCTCCTCAACTGTCATCATGCACTCTTCTCAACTCCATTCCCACCCATCCCTGGCCCTGCTCTGTGCTCACAGACACACACCCCTGTATTAGTGACCTTCCTCTGGACACACCCTCTCTCCCACAGAGTGGGCCCCCCAGCCCGCCCCTCCCCCCCAATCCTGCCTGTCTGATGTCCCTGTCTGATTTCTCCCCCGCAGTTTGAAGAGCAGCCCCAGTGGGAATACAACCTCTACATGTACATCTACTTCGTCATCTTCATCATCTTCGGGTCTTTCTTCACCCTGAACCTTTTCATCGGTGTCATCATTGACAACTTCAACCAGCAGAAGAAAAAGATACGTAGATCACAGCCTCCCCCTGGGCTGGCATGGCGTGGCAGGGTGCAGGGGACTGAGGAGTCATTCTGGCTCCTGGCCCCATTTTGTCTTCCTGTTGGGCATGGTCCTCTTCTCGCTTCTGCTGGAATAGAGTGGAGAGGGGTGTGTCCATGATGTCACATGCCTTGGTCTGTGAGAGTGTAACAAGGGGCCCCACACCTGCCCTAGTCTACCTGAGAGATGAGGCTCCTGAGAAGCAGGGGTGAGGATTGGGACTGTTGACCTAGTCCATGATCAGGGACAATGAGGGGGTCCTGTGTAGAGGCTAGGGTCTTCCCAGAGCTCCATCAGATGGGCCATGATTGGGTTGCAGGCAAACCAAGTGGGAAGAGAGAATCTCCAGCCTGGCTGAACTGGGCAGGAGAGAGCATGGTGCGTGTGGACTGGATTTGCAGGTCCCAAAGCCAGAAAGATCTCAAGGTGAATGGGGACAGGGACCCTGGTAAAGCAGATTTGAGGAGGAATCTCTGGTGCAGAATAGGGACATACTTTTCTCCACGGGGAGAGGAAGCCGCCAACCCTGGCACCCTCATCAAGGAGGCAAGATCCCTTGCCCTCCCTGCTGGAGCCCCTGAGAACCCTAAAATGAGGCTGGTGCCTGTCTCTCTGCACTTAGGGGGCCAGGACATCTTCATGACAGAGGAGCAGAAGAAGTACTACAACGCCATGAAGAAGCTGGGCTCCAAGAAGCCCCAGAAGCCCATCCCAAGGCCCCTGGTGAGCCAGGCTTGCTATTCACCAGGAGTGAGGAGGATTTTCTGGGGGTCCCTGGGATGTCCCCATGCCACACAATCAGCTGTTGGGGCCTCTTCACAGTCTTAAGCCAAGCCTGGGGCCCTCAGCCAGTCCAGGGAAGGAGGGACTTCTGACACACAGTCTCAGTCTCATGGAGATAGTGAGGAAGGCAGGAGACAGCTGTGGCAACCGGGGGATATTCCCCTCAATCAGGAACCCATCTGCCTCTGAGTGAGCCCCCTCCTCCCCTGCAAGGGTGCAGGCTTTCCCCAGGAGAGCAGGGCAGTCTTCACAGCCCCTTTCCCCCTTCATAACCTCATCCTTGAACCCCCTGAGCAGTAGAGTCACCTGATGGGTGGGACCAGGAGGGGTGCTGGATTCTTTGCTAGGCTGATTCCCTTGGCCCCATCAAGCCGTTCTCCAAAAAAAATGTGTGTGTGTGTGTGTGTTTTCACTTATTTATAATCTTCTCTTTTCCCTAAAATAATCTGGAGTGGTGTACAATTGAAGACAAATATAAATGTAGTTAGTGGAATAAATAAAATCAATTCCATAAAAGGGGTGGAGAACCTGAGGGCTGGTACAATTACTAGGATTAAACTTTAAATTTGGCCTTGAGCCTTCAGACAGTGGGAACAAAAAGAGAAGCACAATGTATGATGTGCTAACAAAACTGAGGGTAGGAGAAATCCCTTCCTGAAGATCCATCAGAGAAGGCCTCAGGGAAGAAGGAGCCTCAGGGCTGGGCCTCGAAGCCCAGGGAGGTTTAAGCAGGAAAGTCAGGCTGCTTCAGCCTCCTGACTTCTTCCTCTCACCATGACAGTCTAGCTGGTGTGTTGGCCACAGAGGGTGGAGTAGGAGGATTGGTGGTCTGAGCCGAGAGGCAGCAACAGGGGGTCTGCTAGCCTGTCTTAGGTCCCTACTGAGTCTATCCTTTACCCTTCCTTTCAGAACAAGTACCAGGGCTTCTTATTTGACATTGTAACCAAGCAGGCCTTCGATGTCACCATCATGTTTCTCATCTGCTTGAACATGGTGACCATGATGGTGGAGACAGATGACCAGAGCCCTGAGAAGGTCAACATCTTGGCCAAGATCAACCTGCTCTTTGTAGCCATCTTCACAGGCGAGTGTATCATCAAGATGACTGCCCTGCGCCACTACTACTTCACCAACAGCTGGAACATCTTCGACTTCGTGGTTGTCATCCTCTCCATCGTGGGTGGGTATGCAAGTCGGCTGAACAGAGAAGCCTTCTCCAGGCCAGGCCTCTCCTCCAGCCCTGGGTCCATACTTAATGCCAAGTACACTAGGCTCCTACATTCTTCTCTCTCTGCATTCCTCACTTGTCCTTCTGTCACACACGTGCATACACACACACAAATACATGCACACATACCCCTCCAGAGAGAACTTTGTGAGGGTCCACATAGGCCAAGGGGACCAACCTGGCCAAGACCCAGCACTCCTTCTTGGCTCTACCCTCTGTGGAATCCTAGAACAGAGCTCTCTGCTTGGAGAGCTTCAAGGATGAGCCTGGGAAAGGGAGTTGGGGCTGTGGGGGCTTCCCTGCCCTCCAAGGGAAAGCCTGCACCTTAGGTTGAAGGAGGAAGAGGCTCACTCAGGGTGAGCTGAGTCTCCAGGGTTGGGAGGCAGGTGGCCCTCCAGGGTAGAAGTTTTCCCTGGATATGGAAAATTTTGAAGTCCAGCCACCGAGGGGTGTGCCAGGCTCCTTCAGACATCACCCACCTCATGCAATTCACATTATATAGTCAGCACAGAGACAGGGAGATGATACAACTAGAGAGGAGCAGAGATAGGATTCACGCCTCGTCCGTTTGGACAAATTGCCAGACTGGGTAACTTATAAACAAGAGAAATGTATTTCTCAGAGTTCTGGATGCTGGAATTTCAGGATTAAGGCACTAGCATGGTCATGTTTTCTGGTGAGGGTCCTTTTCCTCATTCATAGCCAGCACATTCTTGCTGTGTCCTCACAAAGTAGAAGGGGCTAGGGAGCTCTCTGGAGCCTCTGTTATAAGGCACTTATCCCATTCATGAGGGCTCCACCCTCACAACTTAAGTATCTCCCAAAGTTCCCACCTCCTAATACCATCATTTTTGGGGTTGGCATTTCAACATATGAATTTGGGGGAGACACAGACATTCAGACCATGGCACACACCCATGCCTGTTTTACCTCAGAGCCCAAATTCTTTTTTTAATAACAGTTTTATTGAGATATAATTCACATATCATAAAATTCACCCTTTAAAGTATACAATTCAATAGTCTTTTGTATATTTACAGAGTTGTGCAACCATCACCACTATCTAATTTTAGAACCTTTCCTCACCCCCAAAAGAAACTCTGTACCCATTTAGCAGTCATTTTCCCTCTCCCCAGCCCCTGGAAACTATTAATCTAAAAATTTGAGGACTGCCCAACTGTTTTCCAAAGTGGCTGCAACATTTTACATTCCCATCATCAATATATGAGGGTTCCAATTACTCCACATCTTTGCCAACACTTGTTACTGTCTGTATTTTTATTATAGTCACCCTAGTGGGTGGGACGTGATCTCTCACTGAGGTTTTGGTTTGCATTTTCCTGATGACTAATGATGCTGAACATCTTTTCATGTGCTCATTGGTAATTTTCCTTGATATATAAGAAGAGAAATGTCTTGGAGAAATGTCTATTCAAGTCCTTTGCTCATTTTTTAATTGGCTTATTTATGTTTTTATTTTTGAGTTGTAAGAGTTCTTTATACAATACCAGTCCCTTCTCAGACATGTGATTTGCAAATATTTTCTCCCATTCAGTGGGTTGTATTTTCACTTTCTTGGTTGTCTCTTGAAGCAGAAAGTTTTTAATTTTGATTAAATCTAGTTTATCAGTATTTTTTTCTTTTGTCACTGATGCTCGGAGCCCAAACTCTTGACCCTGTCCCCATGGAACTCTGCCTTGGGGTGACTGTCATCTTTCCACATGTACATTCCCTGCCTTCATTGAACTCAGAGGAAAGTACAGGGGCTAAGGCAGGGGCTGCTGTGGCTTCAGTGATGGGAGATGGTTAGCAGCTGGAGGTAGGGTGAAGAAATGCTCTGGGAAGTCCCAGGCAGGGGTGAGGGCGAGAGTGTGCCCAGTGGCACTGGAGAGAGGCCTTAGAGAATGTAGGAGGTCAGCAGCAGAAATGGAGCCATTGAGGGACAGTCTCAGAGGCTTAGAAGGTGCGGCATATACCTCGGGGACACCTCCTGGTCCCGGTGCTTGGCCGTACCGGGGAGGCGTGGTTAACAGGTCAACTTGGAGCCAGAGTGTCTGAGCCAAATCCCAGCTTCTCACTGACTAGGTGGCAACTTGGGTAAATTACCTCACTTCTCAGCTTCCTCTTCCGGAAAATGAGGATGATGGTATCAGCTTACCTCCTAGGGTGACTGGAAGGGCTTCATGGATGGATATAAAGTGCTCAGCCCAGTGCCTTGTTGACAGTAAACACTGGACTCCTGTCAGCCAGTGACATTGTTATTATATGAAGAGTCTGGAGAGGTCACTTGGGCCAATACGAGGCAAGTTTATTTCACTCTCTCTACCATAACATATATCCCTGCTCTTTAAAACTCCAAACCCAGGGTAGTTAAAGAGACCAAGGAGTGGGGAAGCCCTGGAAGCCAGCAGAGTCGGGAGAGTGATAGGAACCATCTCAGAGAGGCTGGGTTGTGACAGGTGTGGTATGGCGTAGGGGAGAGCGCTGACTTCTGGGCTAGTGCTTCTTGCACTTCAGTGTGTATATGAATCATCTGGGCATGTTAAAATACAGTGGATCTCGGGGTGGAACTGAGATTCTGCATTTCTGATAAGCACCCAGGAGATCCCAAGGCTTCTGACCTTGGACCATGTTTTGAGTAGTGAGGAGCTAAAATGCCCAAGTTCTGGTCCAAACTAGGCCACCAAGATGCTGAGCAAATCCGCTCAGGCGTCAGACCCATGATCTAGAAGATGGGCCTAGTACAGCTCTATTGTGCAAGTATTCTCAGAAGACTAAGGAACAAAGGGGCTGAGAAGGCACTTTGCAAAGGATGGGGGTACTGTGGTCCTCATTTTCTGGATCATAGATGCAGAAATGGAAACAGAGAGAGGGGAGAGGCAGGGACCTTTCATGCCCAATCCTCCTGGAAGGACCTCCTCTCTTTGGCTCCTTACTGTACAGAGACCCCACCAGTGATGCTGGGCTAGAAGGAGGACAGAGATGCCTTTGGTGGCCACAGTCTCTGTTGTTTCCCACAGGCACTGTGCTCTCAGACATCATCCAGAAGTACTTCTTCTCCCCAACACTCTTCCGAGTCATCCGCCTGGCACGAATTGGCCGCATCCTCAGGCTGATCCGAGGGGCCAAGGGGATCCGCACGCTGCTCTTTGCCCTCATGATGTCCCTGCCTGCCCTCTTCAACATTGGCCTGCTGCTCTTCCTCGTCATGTTCATCTACTCCATCTTTGGCATGGCCAACTTTGCTTATGTCAAGTGGGAGGCTGGCATCGATGACATGTTCAACTTCCAGACCTTTGCCAACAGCATGCTGTGCCTCTTCCAGATCACCACATCGGCTGGCTGGGATGGTCTCCTCAGCCCCATCCTCAACACGGGACCCCCCTCTTGTGACCCCAATCTGCCCAACAGCAATGGCTCCCGGGGGAACTGTGGGAGCCCAGCTGTGGGCATCCTCTTCTTCACCACCTACATCATCATCTCCTTCCTCATCGTGGTCAACATGTACATTGCCATCATCCTGGAGAACTTCAGCGTGGCCACGGAAGAGAGTACCGAGCCCCTGAGTGAGGATGACTTTGACATGTTCTATGAGATCTGGGAGAAGTTTGACCCAGAGGCCACCCAGTTCATTGAGTATTCGGCCCTGTCCGACTTTGCTGATGCCCTGTCTGAGCCACTCCGTATCGCCAAGCCCAACCAGATAAGCCTCATCAATATGGACCTGCCCATGGTGAGCGGGGACCGTATCCATTGCATGGACATACTCTTTGCCTTCACCAAGAGGGTTCTGGGTGAGTCTGGGGAGATGGATGCTCTGAAGATCCAGATGGAGGAGAAGTTTATGGCGGCCAACCCATCCAAGATCTCCTATGAGCCCATCACCACCACACTGCGGCGCAAGCATGAGGAGGTGTCGGCCACAATCATCCAGCGGGCTTTCCGGAGGCACCTGCTGCAGCGCTCCATGAAGCATGCCTCCTTTCTCTTCCGCCAGCAGGCGGGCAGCAGCGGCCTCTCCGAAGAGGATGCCCCTGAGCAAGAGGGCCTCATTGCCTACATGATGAATGAGAACTTCTCCCGACGCCACGGCCCACCCTCCAGCTCCTCCATCTCCTCCACGTCCTTCCCACCCTCCTATGACAGTGTGACCAGGGCCACCAGCGATAACCTCCAGGCGAGGGTGTCTGACTACAGCCGCAGTGAAGATCTCGCAGACTTCCCCCCGTCCCCAGACAGAGACCGTGAGTCTATCGTGTGAGCCTCACTCGGGCTGGCCAGGACGCCGAAAGGCAGGCTGTTGCATCGTGGCAAACCTGAACACTGCCACAAACCAGCTTCCGCTGGGTCTTCCTTGCTCTGGGCTTCGGGAGTGTGAGATGAGCCTCAGCCCCATGCAGCGACAAGGCAGAGTTCTGTGGCACCCATGTTGACAGCCAGAAGCAGTTGGCTGAGCCAACCATTCAGGGTGGCCTTTCCCTGGAGGCCTCACACACACCAGTGGCCTGGTCTGGTCAGGCAATGCCCTGGGGCTCTGAAAAGCAACTCCATCCCAGCTGCTGAGGCAAAATATAAAACTGAGACTGTATATGTTGTGAATGGGCTTTCATAAATTTATTATATTTGATATTTTTTTACTTGAGCAAAGAACTGACGTTTCCAGGACGTCGGCAGCAATTCATGCTGCCTCTTCTTAACTCTGAAAAGAGTGTCTGTGGAGCTGCTGGAACTCTGTTCTCAAAGCAAAAGTGAAATCCATTGGCTCCCACAGGCCTTCACTGCCCAGGGGCAGAGTGGGGTTCCCCTGCCGCTTGGGCTGAGGTGCCAGGAGAGCTGGACCCCTTCCCTCACACACACACACACGTGTGCACACACTCTCACACACACACAGGCCAGACACAGGCCACATGTGGCCCAGGCTCCTCTCAGGCGAGTGTCAGGCAGCCACCTCTGCCCAGCCTAAGGGAGACAGGCCTTTCTTCCCGGCCCCCACGGGTGGGGTTCTTGTCAACAGGGGCTCACTCTGGCCTTCCCTTGTCCCCAAAGTCCCGTTTTTCCTCTGTGTTTTAGGCCATACTTGGGTTGGTTCTACAAAATTAAAAAGCTTCCAGAAGAGAGTGACCTGGGTCCCAGGGCTGGTCCTAGGCACTGATGTTGCCTTTTCCTCCCAGGAGAGCTTGACCTTCTGTCAGAGTATTAACGTTAAACTGAAGGGCATGAGGGAGCCAGCCCCACTCACGGCCTGGCACCCAGCTGGTCCTCACTCCCAAACCTGGCAGGTCCTGTGCCACAGGCCGGGAAGAGAAGTCCTGTGGGGTTAGGGCTAGGAAGCTCGACAGGTCTCAGCCGCGGTGGCCCCCAGCCTATCTGAAGAAGGGACCCTGTCGTCATTGCCAGGGTTCTCTCTCTGGACATTTCTGCCTCTGACCGTGACAGGAAGGGGATTCCCATATGATCCCTAGCTCCTCTCCAGATGCAGCGTCATGGGCATGTGGAGGGCAGCTTGGGCCCTGTGCAGGGAAGGGGCCTCGGGACCACCTGGCCCGGTTCCTGTGCCCTGAGAGGCCCCCTTGGGAAAGGGAGTAGTGTGGCCCTGGACCAGCCCCTCCGGCTCAGCCCAGGGTCCTAGTGACACCTTCATGCAGGACCTCCTGGGGCAGGGTCCAGGCTGTCCCATGGGTCTTGTGAGAAGGCCTTTTCAGGGAAAAATACTTTTTCTAGTCCAGTTACCCCCAGGGCCTCTTCAGCTGCTGACAATCCTATTTAGCATATGCAAATCTTTTAATGCATAGAACTGTCACCCTGAAAGTGGCAGTGCTGGCTGGAGGAGCCTGAGCAGGCAGGGGCTCGGCTGCCCAATTCCAGCTCTCCAGCAAAGCCGCCCTCTATCAAGCGTCCACCTCACAGGCCACCTCTCGGGGCAGCCCGGGAAGCTGGAAACTGGCTGCTCCTAACCTACCTCGCCGAGCTGTCAGAGGGCTGGACATTCGCGAGCTCGTGGCACTGCTAAGGGGGCATTGCTGGCGAGTAAAGTATTACGTTTCTTCTTGTCACCCTGAGTTCCCTTGGTGACAACCCCAGCCCCCAACCCACCCACCCCCAGTGATTTCTCTTCTCCTTGTTCCTTTTGAGTCCAGTGTGGGACGTGGTTTTAACTGTCCCAGCAACACTTCTCTGAGTGGAAATCTTATTTTTGTAGGTCTCTGTGCTTTGCTCTCAAGGCTTGGAGAGGTGCCCCCTCCCTGGCACTCAGCGCCTGCTGCACGGGCAGGAATGCGGCTTGGGAGGTAGGCCGGGCTGCCAGCCCAACTGGCCGGAAGGAGACTGTGGTTTTGTGTATGTGGAGAGCCCAGGAGCCTCGAGACAGGTGCCCAGGGCTGGCCAGGGGCTGCAGAACATGTGGCCAAGGGCAGAGATGAGTTAGAGCCGACTTCTTAGCTTTTAGCGTGGCTCGCTCGCTCTCTCTTTTTTTTTTTTCCCCAGAACTGTACAGTGACCAGCAGAAGGTAGGAAAAAGGAAGGAAGGACAAGCATCAAGTGCCAGCTGCTGTCTGAACTAATGGAGCACTTCTCACCAAACTTCGTGTATAAATAAGATACATATTTTTAAAACAAACCAATAAATGGCTTACATGAGCTGGCCTGGGCTCTGTTCTTGTGCCGAGATTTGACAAGGGTGGTGGCAGGCCCAAGGAGCCTGTGAGGAGGCCTCACCCTGAGCAAACCTGGAGAACGACAATGCGGGGGCATGGGATGACATCCCAAGAACCACACGGGACTTCCAGTTGTCTTCCCAGAACGACAGCCAGGAGTGTGGGCTGATCCAGGAAAAGTGGGTGTGGGCAGACCACTCTGTCCTCCACAAGAGGATACCCAGGCCCTGCCTTCCAGGACTCCCAGTCTGGGGCACTGCGGAGGGGAGGACCGCAATTTGGGGCTCACACGATGGGAAGGGTTTGGAAAGGTGGAAGCAGGAAGGGGCAACTGCCATGGAAAACAGCCAGGTGGTGGCACCTGTGTGTCAAGCCAGGCTTGGACCTGTGACCTGACACTGGCTCCCTCACCCTCACCTTCCCTCACCCCTCAGTCCAGTGCACCTCACTGCTGCCCCACCACCCCACCAAAAGTGCTCTGCTGGCCAGCAGGGGCTTCCTTGTGGCTGGACCCAGCAGAGCCTTCTTTGTCCTCGTCTTGCAGGTCCCCTCTATAGCATTTAACTCAGTGGACAACAGCGTCTTCTGGAAATCCTCTCTTCCTCAGGCTTCTGTGGTATCACCCTCTCCAGGGTTTCCTCCAGTCTCTGGGACCACCACCCTCGGGGGCACATCCTCCAGTGTCGGACTGAATGATCAAGCTCTTTAGGCCCAGGGCCCTCTCCCAGGAAAAAAGTGGGAAACACCCTCTCATACCCTGCCATGCTCTAAAGAAGAGTCTTGAGTCTTTATCTGGAGCCCAGACCCCTGGGCCCCAGGCCAGCACATAGAGCTGTCTACTTGGGACATCTCGAAAGCTTTCAAGCCCAACCTGCCCAACACTGAGCTGATCTGTCATGCTCTCAAACCTATTGGTGAAGGTACCCCCACAGATGCCATCTTCAACCGCAGGCTTTCCTTCACCCGTGTGCCCAGTCCACGCCCTGTTGATGCTACCTTCTCAGCATCTTTCAAGCCCCACCACCTGGTTCCATCTTGCTGCTGCTTCCTTGGTTGAGGCCAGCATCTTGCCTCATGGAAAGCACCAGAGCAGCTCCTCACTGGCTTCCCTTCCTCTAACCTCATGCATTCCAAACTACTCAGCTACCTGAGTATTTTAACCCATGATCATTGCCTCCTGGATAAAACCTTTCAATGGCTTCCTGTTGTCTCAGGATCAAGGCAAACCCCTCCCAGGGCCTCCAGCATGCCAACTTCTGTAACCACATCTCTCTAACCCCTCAAAGGTCCCAGGCTCTTCCTCCTCTCAGCCTTGCCAACTGCTGTTCTCGACACCCAGAACACTATTCTTCTTTCCACTCAGCCTTCAGGCCTTCATGTCACCTCTTCTGGGAGCCCTCCCTGACCACCGCCCAACCCCCTTCTCCGTCACTTGTCCCCACTCTTGGTACTTCCCTTGTCACAGCACTTAACGCTCCTCATTGCAAATACCTGCAAAGCTGGTATGTGAACAAACATGACGCCCAGTGTCATCGAATCCAACCTTTATTTTTGTCTCTCCCCGGCCCTCACAGCTTTATTCAGTGGAGGTAATCTTCCCTGGCCCTGGATGAAAACCGGGCTCCTCCTGTGGCTTTTCAGCTCAGTCCTGGGTGAAACAGCAGCCTACAGTCCCTCTAGACTGTAAACGGTCTCGGCCTCGTCCTGAGAGTGTCCAGTCCCAAGAACACGCGGAGATGGGGTGGCTGAGTGGCTCCTCCTCCCCGCGCCAGGCAGGCGACCAGCAGGGACTCTCAGATGCTTATCTGTGGGCTTTTGGAGACTCCCTGCTGGGCCTTCTCCCTGCAGTTTCCTCAGCCCAGGAGATGAACTTCCTTCCGGGTGGCCCTGTGATCCCTTCCTTTGCCCATGGGCACCTATGGTTCCACCCCTAGTCACTTCCTGCCAAGCCCTGTGACTCTCCAGGTGGCCCTGTCGTGGTGGCACACACCTGCCCTCTCTCCTCCTGCCACCTCTGGTCCTCGGGAAGCACTCAGAGCACTTGCCCCACCCACTCTGGGTACAGCCATGCCCTGGCAGGAGCGTGCTCCACAGCCACCACTCAAGCAGCAGCCGCCACCCTCCCTCCAGGTCCCAGGGCAGGAGTCAGGAGTCCTGTGACCCATCCACTTGAGCCTCCAACATCTCAAAGCTCTCCAAGAAGGCCCTGGAAGCCCCCTCAGCAGGCCTGGGTTAGAAGATGGCACACCACACACACAACCCTCCCCCAAGGGAAGGCCACAGGTCCTAGAAACAACATACACAGTTCTCTCCAAAGAAACCCGCTCACAGGCTCCCTCAGCCCTCCGCTCTCTTGTACCCCTTTTTATATCCTTCACGTGATTGCAGGCCTCAGTGTCCACATTTCCCTTGTAAACCATCTGCATGTGAGAGACACATGGTTTGGAATCCTGAAACCCTTGGTATTTGGTCCCTTGGTCAAAACTGGAGCAGGGACACTTCTGTGACACTTGCTTAATCATCTTTCCCCAATTAGACCAGGGCTTTCAAAGGCAGGTCACATCCCAGTGTACTGTGCCATGACCAGCTTTTTAAAAAATAATATTAGAATTTAAAATAGCAGTGTCTCCCAGGTGGTAAGGATGAGTGTTGTTTTGTGAAACTATTATTTCAGATATATAGAGACCCTGGGTAGTGATGGAAAATATATTTCTTACTGGAAATTCCAGTGAAAAGAGTGAAAGCAACATGAGGACAGGGTCTGTGTCTGTTTTACTCACCACTGCAGCCAGGACCCAGCTCAGAAGCTGGCATATGGCAGTAACTGAATAACTGTTTGTGGGGTGCATGAGGGGAGGAGGGAAGGAGGCTGTGACACCCACCATGAGCTGTGATGGAGTCAGGCCTCCACTCTTACCAGGTCCAGGACACCACCACTAGGTCTGGGCCAGTGGGGTGGCTTCCCCATTGTTTTCAAAGCCAAGACTTGGAGCGTGGGGTTCTTGGGCCCCTTGTATCGGGTCTTCCCTGAGGTGGGCATTCACCTGGCCTGGGATCTGGAGGGAGGCACAAGTGGGGCCTTGTGCTCGCCACAACGCTGCAACTGTCGCCAGGCCTCTCTGGGGTGAGGCTGGGGTCCAGGCAGCGGCCGGCTCTGTGAGGGACGGATGCCGGCTCCTGTGTCAGAGGGAAGGCATGCAGCCCAGGGATCTCAACCCTTGGCAAGGATAGAGATGCTCCAGGACAGACGTCAGCTCTCACCCTGAGGCCATGGCATTGGCAGCTCCCCTGCGCCTGTGCCAGCAGCTCCTCCACCCTCAGCCCTGACAGCCACGAGACTCGGTGCCCAGAGGTTGGGAGGGGCAGGGGAGACAGCACAGGCACTCCCACAGGCAGTGACTGAACGGGCAGCAACCGCGAGCAAGGAGACACTGAAGGCAGCCGCTGATGGGCTCAGGGAAGCCTCAGGACTGGTGTCTCCTGCCCCCTGGGCTGCTTCTCGGGGCATTTATGCTGGTGCAGCGCCTGCAGACCCCTCCCAGGATTCTGAGCACACTGTATTGTGTAGCCGGCCCATGAGTCTGAGAGCTGGGCAAGGCCAGGCCAGGCCGGTCCATTCACACCACGTTCTCCAGCCCCCACCTCCATGCCTGGCACAGATTAGGAGCCAGGGAATTTTTGCTGAAGAGGCAACCAATCAATCAAGCAGTTCAGTCTGCTGAATTCACCAGGATCCTCTCCTCCATTTGAATCCTCCTGTCCTCTGAGGTCCCCTGCCCCTTTTCTCACCAGCGGTCCCACCTTCCATTCCTCACTCTCCTGGAAGAAGGTCAGACACACGACCATCTGAGATTCTCACCTACGTGGAGAGACACTACAGATTCACACAAGTGCACGCTCAAGGCACAGTAACCAGGGTCCATGTCGGGGAGGGGGGTGGGACATGACCACTGGGAGATGCCTGAAATCCCAGGAATGAACCTTAGGCTTCCTGTCCAACCTCCCTTGGATCAGGGGCCTCAGGACATTCCTAGGGACAGGGGCAGTCAGACAGGCCAGAGGGGGTGGCTGAGGGACTTCATTCAGAAATAACATTCAAAGGCTAGCAGCTGCCAAGCTCTGTCTGGGGGGATTCCAGGGGGACCCTGGGTGCCCTGCCAGGGGCACCACTCTCTTGCGGGTGTCCCAAGTCAGCCTGAATGGCAGGGGTGGAGGCTGGTCCAGCCTGAGCTCAGCACGTGTAATGACCACCCTGACAAGCACCTCCTCGCATGCCAGCTCACGGGGCTGGCATCCCCGGGCAGCTGCCAGGCACCTGCTGCCGGAGAGAGAAACCCCATCATCTCAGCTTGTGGAGAGACAGGCCAGCTTGCGCTCCAGAAAGGCATGCAAGTCAAAGCAGAGCCCCGCTGCCCGGATGCGGGCTGACCGGCAGGTGGTACGTCCTGTCCTCCCGCCCTGCTCCGTGCCTGGCCTCTGTGGACACAGCCCTGGGGGAGCGGGTGCTGGGATTTAAGGTGCGACTGGCCAGGGGGCTGAGCTTGCCTCCAGTATTAGTCCTTGGAGCCCTGTCTCCTGGGGGACCATCTCTCTGCCACTCACCCTCTCAGACTGCACCCCTTCTTCCTGGAAGGCCAGGCTGTTTCTGCGTGCAAGACTGTGGGAGAAGCTGCAAGAAGCAAGGCCGGCTGAACAGAGATCATTGGGCCTCCTGTATCCTGTATCAATCCATCACATTTATAGCCTTCTCTCCAGACAGGAGACAACGAGGAAATGACAAAAGCCAATAAGGCCAATAAAAATAAAGAGCAATGGAACAGCCAGCATGTGCAGTCTATCTCCTGAGCCCCAGAGCCAGGAGCAGGGCTGAGCCCCTCCCTTCTATCTCTGTCTTGACTTCGGCCACAGGCCCCTGCAGACGTTAAAACCGTCAACAGCCCCACAGCGGTGCCCAGCTGGATTTCCAGCTGCTCAGTCCAAAAACCTTGGCATCATCCCTGCCTCCTCTCTCTCTCTCACCCCACATCCAATCCGGCAGGAAATCCTGTTGGCTCTGCCTTCGAAATATATCCCAAGTCCAACCACTTCTCAACACCTCCACTGCCACCATGCTGGTCTGAGCCACCATCATCTCTTGCCTGGATTCTTGCAAAGTCCTCCTAACTGCTGTCAACTCAGCAGCCAGTGGGGTCTATTAAAAGGGAAGTTGGAGCATGCCACTGCCCTGCTCAGAACCACCCCCCAAGTGGCCCCTTTTCACTTGGAGAACAGCCTGAGCCCTATGCGGCCCCCACGATCTGCCCTAGTCCCCAGTGCCTGTCTGAGCCGCTCCACAACCTCGTCTCTTACTCCACTTCAGCCACACTGGCTCCTTGCTGGTCCCTGCTCAGGCTGAGCACACCTCGCCCTAGGACTTCTGCAGCTGTTCCCTTGGCCTGCCACACTCTTCCCCTAGAGAGTGGCGTGGCTCCCCTCCTTCCTCTTTCAAGTCTTCTCAAATGTCACCTTTGCAGTGAGGCAACCATGACCATCCAATTTCCTACCCTCTTCAGCCCACTGTTTCTATACTTAAATCGGGTGCAGTGAGGTATAATTTACATACAATAAAATTTACCCTTTTTAAATGCATGGTTTGATGAGTTTTGACAACTGTATAAGCAATATAACCACCACCAAAATCAAGATAGCAAACATTTCCATCACACGCCACGAAGTTCCCTCGTGCTCCTTTGTAGTCAACGTCTTCCTCGACCCTAGCTCCTGGCAACCAGTGGGCTGTTTTCCATTCCTATACATTTGCTTTTTCTGGAGAGATTATATAAATGGAATAATTATATAAATGAACTGCAGCCTTTTGTGTTTGGCTGCTGTCACTCAGCATAATGCATTTGAGACTCATCCATGCTGCTCCATGTGTTGGCTTGTCCCTTGTCATTGCTGAGTGATACTCCATTATATGGATGTACCATGTTTGTTTTCCATTCAATAGTGGATGGACATTTGGGTTGTGTACAGTTTTTTGCTATCATGAATAAAGCCACCATGAACATTTGTGTTCAGGTGTTTGTGTCGATATATGTTTTTATCTCTTGGGTAAATACCCAGGAATTGAATTTCAGAATTATATGATTAGTGTAGGTTTAACTTTTTTTTTTTTTGAGGATGATTAGCCCTGAGCTAACATCTTCTGCCAATCCTCTTTTTTGCTGAGGAAGACTGGCCCTGAGCTAACATCTGTGCCCATCTTCCTCTACTTTATATATGGGATGCCTACCACAGCATGGTTTGCCAAGCAGTGCCATGTCTGCACCCAGGATCTGAACTGGCGAACCCTGGGCTGCCGAAGCAGAACGTGCACACTTAACCACTGAGCCACCGGGCCAACCCCCAGTGTAGGTTTAATGTTAAGAAGCTGTCAAACGTTTTCCAAAGTGGTGTTCATTTTTCATTCCCACCAGCCATGAGAGTTCCAGTTGCTCTATGTCATGTCAGCATTTGATATTGTCAGTCTTTTTATTTTTCCTTTAATGTTAGCCATTTGAGTGGACATACCCCGTAATTTTAATTTACATATCCCTGATGACTAAGGATGTTGAACATCTTTTCATGTGCTTATTGGCCATTCTTACATCTTCTTTGGTGAAATGTATGCTACTGATTTTAAGGAGCTCGAAACAAATGCTTTATATACTTACATCATCATTTGAAGGACTAGGACTCCCTGTTCAGTATGAAAATATGCCATTGCTCTGCCATTGGCTTACTGTATGCTCTAAAGAAACTGATCTCCCTGTACTAGTCTCCATTTCCTCATCTGTAAAATGGGCATAACAATACTCACCTCCTAGGGTAGTGAAGGTGTGTAAATTAAGAGATGTAGAAAATTTACAATAATCCCTGATACATAGTAAATAAGTACTTAATAAATGTCCAGTGTGATGATGACAATTATTATTACTAACCCCTATGTGACTTGTTCCTGTCAATACCATTTCCCTCTTCAGAGCCCTGTGTTTCCAACTGTAAATGGTTGGGGACAATCTCTAAATCCCTTCTACAGTAACATCCACTATTTCTTGAATTGTTCTCTGTTTACTTACACAGCCCTTACAGGTCCCTTCTTCCACCTAGGGGCACCCCCCCTGACAGCCACCACCCCCAGGACACTAGTTATACATACAACAGCAGCAGAAAGCTCCCCTACAACTCCTGACCCAGCTCCTCAGTCACCAATGAGAGGGACCTGGAGAAACTAGAAGGACCAAGGGAGACAGAAGAGACTGAGGAAGAGTTGGGAAGGGCAGACGACACTAGGCAAGACCAATGGAAGCTGAAAGGCTGGACAAAGTAATGTGGTCCTGCAGGGACCCCATTCACTGCCCCGCAGTGACTTGGCATTCTCCCCCTACTTCTCCCTCATGGCCTCCCCCAGCTCAGCTCCACAGCTTAGGGTGGGCCAGGCCCTCCATTAGCCCTACTCTCACCCTGCCTGACCTCTATAGGAAAGCTGGATCCCCAAGGGATCCCCTCCCCCAGCAGCAGTGGGGTAGGGAGGAGGACAGGAGTGTTGGGAAGTCAGTCCACGTGGATCTTGGGCTGGCGCCAGGGTACCACAGGGAGTGAGGAGGAACTGATGAAAGAAGGACAGGCCAACAGGGCCCAGGCCACTGACAGGATAGGCTAGGGGTGGTGACTAGGGGAGCTGAGGGGCAGGGAGGCTGGGAGAGCTGAGAGGGTTATAGGGGCTGGAGTCCTGGAGGTTCTAGAAGCCCAGAGCAGGGAGAATAGGAGGCACTGGGGGACCGAAGTACAGGAAGGGTGAGGGAGGTTAGAGGCAAGGAGAATCGCTAGGCCATCCCACACGCCCTGTCCTTCACTTCCACTAAGCATGCTCTTCACGCTCACTGCCTCCCCTCTGTTGTGGGCAGCTCCACCCAGCCTGCCCAGCCTCCGGGCCCCAGCAAGACTCCCTTGGCACCCTGACAGCCCATGCCTTCTCCCCAGGGCAAGCCACCACCTCAGTGCTGCCCTTACCACCCACCTGCTGCTAGGCCCCGGCCACACAGCTCCCCAAGCCAATTTCTCTACTCCTGTGTGCCCCAGCTGAAGACCACCCAGCCCCAAGGATAAACTCACTAGGAAGCCATGCACCTGCCCCCCCGCCAGCCCTACCTGCCACATCCGTGATCCAGCCACCTTCTCTCCTGTGGAGACTATGATGTTTGCAGGATAAATGAAAGCTGAGAAGTGGAGCCAAAGCCCAGTCAGCAGGGCTGACACCAGCGGTACACCCCAGGAGTGAGTGGGCATAGACCCCAGAGCCACAGGGGTCTCCTTCCTCACTCATTCCCACTAAGTGATGTCAGCCTACACATGGGACCAACTGGGGAAACTGAGGCATCTGTCCATTCTTCCTTTTGCAAACATGTATTGAGCATAAATTTCATGTATTGAGAATTACAGATTCTCGAGTTATAATAATGAGCAAAAACAGACAAAGTCCGTGCCCTCATGTAACTCACAGTCAAGTTGAGGAGACAGATATTAACATCTAAATCCACAGACAAGGGCTGTTTGTACTTAGAAAACTATGTGGGGGAAGTACCAAGTACAATGAGTAAGAATATGCAGGACTAGGGAAGACCTCTGTTGAAGATAGGGCATTTTTGTTGACCTTTGTTGAGGTGGGCATTTCCAGGCAAAGGGAAGAGCAGGTGTGAAGGTCCTGAGGTGGAAAGGACGTGGCCCATTCCAGAAGGGAATGTTGGCCCACGTAGCTGGACCCAGAGAGTGAGGGGGAGCCCAGCCTGGCGAGGCCCAGAAAAGGAGTCTGGACATGACCTTGAGACACTGTGGGGCTGTTGGAGAGGTTTATTGTCGTACGTACTTTTTTTATTTGTGGGGAGGGGCAGGGTTGCTAAATGAGTTTGTCCTTTAGAAAGATCCCACCTCCTGCTCTGAGGGGAATGTTTGTGGGGGATGAGAATGAATGAGGGGAAGCAAGTCAGGTGGCCTCTGTAGGGAGAGATGATGTTGGCTTGGACCAGGATGGGGACAGTGGAGAGTGAAAAAATTGGGAGCTATTTAGGACGCAAAATGGTAGAGAGAACATCCAACAGTGCATGAGGAGGCTCCTCTGGTCTCTGGCTAGGACAGTGGGGAAGGTGCCACAAGAGGCCTCCTCAGGTCACTTCCCAGGCTGACCCTCAGACCTCCTACATCTGCCCCAAGAGCACTTGGCTAGCAGGATAGATGATCCAATGGGGAATAAATTCCAGGTCCCATCTCCCTTAATCCTTCCTCCTACATCTACCCCGGGCAGCACGAGCTCCGAAAGACAGCAAGTTCCAAGTACCTGCTGGAGGCCCTCCACACATGCGCTGGTGATGGGCAGGCACGGGCTTCTCTGGTCACTGGGAATGCAGCTGTATGAACTGTCCCCTGAGCACAGAGCACAAAGGCCACTTGTAATTTTTTCTATTAATCAAGTAAGAATTTACATACCACATCCAGTTCCTCCCTTGAGAGAACTTCACCTTCTGCTTGAATTGTTTAAAAAACAAAATAGGGGTTGGGGTCTGCATAGCACTGCCACGTCACTGTTGAGGACACTTGGACGCCTCAGAGTCCAGCCGAGGCTACCAGAAAACAGCACCATTCCTCAAAGTCAAGGGGCGCCTGGGGCCACCACTTGGACTCATTTCTAGGTGACAGTCCTGTGCAGAAATCACCACAGTCCCAGCCGAGAGCACAGGCAGTCGGTGCGGCTGAGTCTCTAGAACTGACACAGCCACCTTACTCTGCGCTAAAGTCAGCCTTGCCCCGGGAAACATACGGGGGCCCTCGCCGGAAAACTGTCACCACCCCAGACTCCTGTTTTCCTCAACATAATTTCAAATTTCATTTCAGAAGCCCTTGGTCCAAGGTCTTTATTGTGGCCAGCCCCCTCCGCGCCAACAGATCTCCTTCCCTTTACATCTCAGGAAGTGGCTGGATATTTTCTTCCCTCCCAGAGGCTCTCGGTGCCTTTTGTAAATTGATGCATTTCCTCCAGGGGCCAGCTTCACGTACCAGGGATCTTAGGGAGAGGAAGCCTTAGATTTAGTTTCAGTTAACCAGCTCCAAAGGGGGGACCAAGGCTACCCACTCACCCTATATTTGCATAACTAAGAAAGCCAGTCAAGTGGCCTTCACTGGACTCCAGGCATTTTCTTTTCAGATCATCCCTGTACCTGCTACCTGTGGCCACGGCAAGCGGGCTGTCCTGGGCATGAATCCCCAGAGCCTTGAAGAGGCTTATTTGGAGAGCGCACCTCTCACGGTGCCCCATCCCCAACCTCAACACAGGCTTTGGTATGAGTGCTTTTCATGTAGAAAAAGGAACGTTTCCAGGTGGAAATCTTCCAAATGTGTCTTCCCCAATCACCTTGTCACCAGATTGTTCTAAGCAAAAACTTTCTCATAAATTATCTTTGCCTTTGGCTGTTCACACACAAAGGTCACATAGTTGTCTGCCTCTGATATCACACATGTAGCTGGGGAAATGGTTTCAGAGGTTCCCACAGCTGGAATCTGCTGAGGAATTCTGACCAAGAAAGGGGAGATGAGGTCATGATGAAGAGGGAAAGGAAGGACAGAGAGAGCGGGAAAGAGCCAGAGAGCTAGAGAGGGAAAGGGGACTCTCTATCCAGGTCATCTCACTCCTTTTCCCCCTTCCATCTCTAAGCTGCAGTTTCTTCAGTGCTCCGCACACCATCACATCCAAGTGAACAGATATAAAATGGTCAACTAGAAGCACCAGAGTATATACATACCAGTATCAATGAGCACATGCAGCACCCAAATCTGGTCTCTAAATACCAATTGTTTCTAAATATCATTCTCCATTAAAAAAAAAAAATAAGTGAAATGACTCGGTGAAATGGCTGATTCATTGCTAGAGCAATACAAGAGAAAATACAAGATGAGCCTGGAACATCTTGTGCCAGAAAGTAAGAGAGTGCTCAAAGATTGATGAGACACGTCAAAAGACGCAGGAGCCAGCTTGAATGGGCCAACTGGTAAGTTTAGAAGGAATGATGGGGCCGAAAATCATCAATGGATGAAAACTAGTGGGTAAAAGTTTGATGAGGAACGTAGTCTCAAAGTATCTCCCCACAATTACTTCTTAATTGCAAAGAGAA